TTTTGAATTGGGTCTTTGAATTTGGGGGCTCTGATTTTTTTCAATTCTTTATATATTCTAGATAGTAGTCCTTTGTCTAAGGTACAGCTGCTGAAAATTTTTTCCACATTGTAGGTTGTCTCTTAGCTCTGTTGCCTAGCAAGCTTTTTTGATTGCCTCAACCAGAAATAAAGACTTTTGGCCTTCTTTTCTGTGACTTAACGTACATTGCATTTTACTATAGCTATCTGTGCTTGAAACTTATCTCTTACTTGATTGGAACTTGTGTAACAGTAGAATCATGGCTGATTCATCCTTATTGCTATCATAGTACCTTGTGCATAATACATGCTCATTTGTAAAAAGAATAGTGATGCTCAGAGTGGCGTGAACCTGACATAATAACATTCTTTCCATTAATTCTCATTTTCTCCCCATTGAGCAGGGAGCATGATTGATGCCAACCTAAAATTGCTGCAAGAAGCTGAGCAGCGTCTCAAAGCCATTGTAGCAGAGAAGTTTGCCATCGCCACCAAGGAAGGAGATTTGCCCCAGGTGGAGCGCTTCTTCAAGATCTTCCCATTGCTGGGTTTACATGAAGAGGGATTAAGCAAGTTCTCTGAATACCTTTGTAAGCAGGTATGGGCCCTGATTGCTTGGCAGGTAATGGTTCTCTGCAGACTGGTGTGCAGGATGGCTACAGTTTTCTCTTTCTTTCCTTCTTTCTTTCCTTTTCTCTCTCTCTCTCTCTCTCTCTCTCTCTCTCTCTCTCTCTTTCTTTTTCTCTCCTTTGGTTTTTTGAGACAGGGTCTCTCCATGTAGTTCAGGCTGGTCCTAAACTCACTATGTATGATCCAGGCTGGCCTGGAACTCAAGGCAATCCTCCTGCCTCACCCTCCCAAGTGCTGGGATCATAGGCATGCACCAGCACACCTGGCTGATGAGCATCTAGTTTCTATGGCTACCTTCTGTCTTTTCAATATGACTTCTTTTTTCTCTTACTATATAGTCTGATAGGACTGGATGCATGCATTTATTCTACACATTTTTGACAGCCTTCTGTGTACCAGGCATGGCCTAGACGTTTGCTGATGCACATTTATTTCCAAGTGAAAGTACTGTATAGGAAAATTTAAATGCAAGTTCTCTGACAAATAGTATTTATTTTTTATTTAAAAATTTAATTTTCTTAGGTGGAAAGAAGCTACTTCATCTGGGATGTGTGCAGAGTTGTGTGGGATTTGGGGATTTTTTTGGGGGGGTGGGGGTTAAGACAGCGTCTTGCTATGTAGTTTAAGCTGGTCTTGAACTCACTGTGTAGCCCAGGCTGGCCTCAAATTTGCAGTGATCTTCCTGCCTCAGCCTCCTGAGTCCCAAGATTACAGGTGGGCATCACTATGCCCAGAAATTGTTGGGATTTTAACTATTTGTTGGTGCATTTTCCTCTACTGAAGAATTCTCTACAATTTTATGGTATTCTCTCATTAAAAAGAAAATGAGACAGTTGCATATGTGCTGACCTATTTTACTGCCTAACATATGATTTATTAAATAAACGGTACAAAAGAGCAAACTGTCATTCTTAGAGTAAGAGGGTGGCAGTAAAGATATACACTTGAATAAGCACAGTATACTTTGGAAGGGGGAATTAAAAGATCAAGAGACATAGGTAAGAGGAAGGACCATTTTTGCTGAACACACTTTTGTTGCTTTTGAACGTTTAAGGATATCTTTTACCCATTCTAAAACATTAATTAAAAGGTGAATACACCTGTTCTCTGGTACTTTTTTTTTTTTGAGACAGAGTCTCACTATGTAGTCAAGGCTGACTTCGAACTCACAGTGATCCTCCTGTCTCAGCCTCCTGAGTGCTAGGATTTCAGGTATGTACCACCAGGCCCACCTCTCTCACACTTTATTAAATCAGTACTTTCCAGGGCCGGGGATTTAGCTCAGTGGTGCTGCCGCCTTCCTAGCAAGCACAAGGTCTTGAGTTCAAACTCCAGTACAAAAAAAAAAAAATCAGTACTTTCCATCCTCTAGAAATGGCTTCTATTTTTAATCCTTTAAAAGATCCTTCCAGCTGGGGATTTAGCTCAGTGGTGCCATTCCCTGCCTCGGAAGCGCAAGGTGCCGAGTTCGATGCCCAGTACCAAACAAAAATTCCTTGTCTTCCTAGCTTGACAAAGCACTATTAATGATAACAAAAGATGCTTTGAAGCTGAGAACATCTCTCCCTTTGCTAAAGCAGTCCATGTTTTCAAAGAGAAGAAAAGCAGCACTTGGGAGGTTGAGGCAGAACGATCACTGCAAGTTCAGCCTGAACCACATAGCAAGACCTTGTCTCAAAAAAAGAAAGAGCCAGGAATGTAGCTCAGGGGCATGGCACCTGCCTGGCAAGCATGAGGCCATGAGTTCAATTCCTGGCACAAAAAAACAGAGAGAAAAAGAAAAAAGGCATTATTTATCCCTCTGAATGGAAGAAGATCTACTACCATACTCAAACTTCTTGTCTTGCCTGAGCTGAGATCAGTGCCCCTCAAGGAAGGTCCCTCTGGGCTGCCCCGGTCTCTGTACATCAAGACAAACATAGGGGGACAAGGCCAATGGAAGCCCTTTTCTGAAAGCAGACTGTTAGGCTGGCCTTAAGTCTAAGACATATATGTGGATTTGTGCTTTTTTTTTCAGGTGGCCAGTAAAGCTGAGGAGAACCTCCTCCTGGTGCTGAGGTCAGACATGAGTGACAGACGAGCTGCAGTCATCTTCGCAGACACACTCACTCTCCTGTTTGAAGGTGAGCCTCTTTTGGCACCATAGAGAAGCCAGAGACATTTCTGACACCTGCGTCATAACCTTTCATTTCTCCCCTCTAGCCTGATGCCTTTAACCTAATTCAGTAACTTACTGTATATTGATTTATTGGAGAATTAACTTGCAGATGAGTTATCTGATTAGCAAGATTAGTTACAGTTTCTCTGGTGTTTTGATCCTCCCTGTTCTTCAAGAACCAGATTCTGTAAGAGTAAGTTTAACTCTAAAATACATTTCTGGAGAGAAATCATGATTTCCAGAGTTGCTGTGATGCTGCTAGAGAAAACAGTATCAGTACACCTTCTCAGATTCCTGTCGGTATACCAATCACTGTGCATATTTAACAAATTCACTTAGCCCCCAGCATCAACTAGAACTATGTTTCTTTTTTTTGAAAAAAACAATGAAGCAGCCAAAAAGAGTAAGTTATACCTGGGTTATTCCTGGATGTGAGAAAGATGTTTATTTTGTGGGAAGACACTTTGGAATCCAACCCTCTCGCTTTTAGGGATTGCCCGCATCGTGGAGACCCACCAACCCATTGTGGAGACTTACTATGGACTGGGAAGGCTTTATACCCTGATCAAATATCTTCAGGTGGAGTGTGACAGACAGGTGGAGAAGGTGGTGGACAAGTTCACCAAGCAGAGGGACTACCAGCAGCAGGTGAGCAGGGAAAGCTACTAGTGGTTTGGAGCCAGCATTAGGCAGGGACGATGAATAGAATAAATTGGAGGAGAAAAAATGAAAAAAGGTATAGAGAGAAGAAATGGTGAATTCAGACTAACCTGAATCTTGCCCATTACCACCTTAAAAGAGGTACTGTCAAGATAATGATGGCCTCAGTCAAGACTGGAAAGAGAAATGACTTCCTGAAAGAACACATCAGAAACACTATTATAGAGACCTCTGGCGCAACAGTAGCCTGTGGTGATATAAAGAGGATTTTTTTTCCTAAGGCCTTACTGAATGTCAAGTAATTCACCTTGAATTTCCTCTTAGCTCCTTAATTGCTGAAGATAATGTTTGCTTTTTCAGAACTTTTATTTTTCTGCTCTTCTCCTTTGAGCAGAAAAAGTAAAAGTACATGGAAATAGGAGTGCCCTCATACAATTGTATTTTCACAACTCTAGAGTAGGAAACTAGACTGCAGTCTTCTGGACCTTTAAACATAGTAATAGAGGTGACCTTTATCATCTAAACCGAAAGCAAGTCTTTGGCCACTCATCTTGAAAGCCCATTTCTGGCTTGAAGGAAGGGTATACCTAGTGAGCAAACCAAATCTAAACGTTTTGTTTTGTTTTGTTTTGTTTTGTTTTTGTGGTACCGGGGATGGAACTCAGGACCTTGTGCTTGTGAAACAGGCATAGCGCCACTGAGCTAAATCCCCAGCCCTAAACATTGTCGTATGCCAGAAGTTTGGAGTGACCGGCAGGAAACAAATAGTTGGAGGGGGGTAAGGAAAAGTATTCTTATTTCTGTGGTATATTGCAGTTCCGGCTTGTCCAGAATAACTTGAGAAATTCTGCACCAGAAAAAATCGAACCAAGGTAATAATCATGTTTTATTCAACCCATAACAGTTTGAATTGGTAGTCATATGTAATTAAGAGACTACTTTTTACAATGTGGTATGTGTTTTTAAAATATTGTATCAACTACACTTACTTATTTTATAACAGAAAAATATAAACAAGTGCCTCTATAATGTGTGTTTCATAAATATCATTACCAGTACTTTGAAGCCTCCAGAATAACTCTCTTCTTCCCCCTCTCCCAAAGGTAACAATTATCCTAAAATTTTAAGCTTTTACTTTTTTATAATGAAAGTAAAATACTCTTATTAAAAGAAAATTTAGGCTAGGGGTGTACCTCAGTAGTAAGTCATGTGCTTATCCCTAGTGTACATGAGACTTTGTGTTCAATCCCCAGCACAAAAAAAAGAAGAGTAGGGCATGGTGGCACATCCCTATAATCCTAGCACTTGGGAGGCTGAGCCAGGAGGATCGCTGCAAGTTTGAGGCCAGCCTGGGCTACATAGTGAGTTCAAGGATAGCCTGAACTACAGAGCAAGACCCTGTCTCAAAAGAAAGGAAAATTCAAACATTATAAACATTTATTCATTCTATCAAATTTTTCCTGAGTACACATTATGTGCCACAAAGAGAGCAAAATAGATATACTTTTTTTTCTTTTGAGATTAGGTCTCCTTATGTAGTTCAAGCTGGTCTTGAACTCATTATGTAGCCCAGGCTGGCCTCAAACTCTCAGCAGTCCTCCTGTCTCAGCCTCCCAAGTGTTATGATAAGTGTGTGCCACCATGCCTAGCTTAGAGTTGTTTTCTTCTTGGCACCTATGGTCTATCAAGTAGATAGTAATAATATTTAACACAGTGTTTATTATATGCCAGATACTGTTTTAGGCACTTAACAAATACTATATTAAAGCCCATTTAATCTGCTGGATGTGGTGGCATCTGTAGTCCTAGCTGCCCAGGAGACTGAGGCAGGAGGATTCCTTAAACTCAGGAGTTTGAGGGCCGGGGATTTAGCTCAGTGGCACTGTGCCTACCTTGAAAGTGCAAGGTCCTGAATTTGATCCCTGGTACTAGAGGGGAAAAAAAAAAACGAGTTTGAGACCATCTGGACAACAGCAAAAAAGAAATTTTTTTTTTTTTTTAATCCAAGATTTCTTTACCTCTGCTATTGGCAGACGTTGATTGGCTAGGTAATTCTTTGTCTGGGGGAACTGTCCTATCCCTTGTAGGAGAGTTAGCAGTATCCACTATGTCTACTCACTGCATTAGATGCTGGTAGTCCCCTGGGCCAAAATCACTCTTAGTTGTACATCACTAATCTAACCTATAAACATTTTTTCAGATGATGAAACTAACATCTAGAGAGGCAAAATGATTTACTTAAGGTCTTACAGCTAGAAGGTGACAGAACCAGAAACAGAATCCAAGCAGTTTGGCTCTACAGTTCATACTGTTAACCACTGTGATGTACTAATAGGGTACAGGAGATTGTGTTATAAGGAAAAATGTATAATAAGGAAGAGTGTTCCAAGTAGAGGGGAAAGCATGGGCAGAGGTCCTGTATATTTAAAAAGCTGATGGGGCCGGGGATTTAGCTCAGTGGTTTCGCCGCCTGCTGCGCAAGCACAAGGACCCGAGTTCTATCTCCGGTACCAAAAAAAAAAAAATTTAAAAAATTAAAAGCTGAAAGGTCATTATAGCTGAGGTGCAGAGAATTGGGAAGAGCGTAAAATGAGATGAATTTGGAAAGATCATTAGTGTCAAACCATTCTGGGTCATGTACCTGAGATTAATGATAGGACCAGATTTGTGTTTTGAGAAGTTCTCTACAGGGTGTAAAGGGAGTTAATTTTTGTAAATAATGTGAGGTAGGGGTTCGATTTCATTGTTTTTCATGTGGATCTCAGTTGTCCCAACAGTTTTTGGGGTTTGTTTGGGGTTTTTTAGTACTGGGTACTGAATTCTGGACCTTGTGCTTGCAAGGCAGGCACCGGAACCACTGAGGTAAATCCCCGGCCCTCCCAATGGTTTTTTTAAAAGGCCATTCTTTCCTATTGAATTGTCTCAGCATTTTGCTGAAAATCAATCAACCATCCAAGCTCTCAACTTTATTCCATTTATACATCATTATGTCAGTACCTCATGGCCTTGATTGCTATAGGTTTGTAGTAAATTTTAAAATCAAGAAGTGCAAGTTCTCTGGTTTTTTTCAGGGTTGTTTTGGCTATTCTTTGGGTTAGATGAATGAGGGTGAAACACAGCGTAATGGTGTATCCTAAAATCCCACCATGGCTAAATTAGAGATTGGGAAGTATGTTTCCTTTCACATAAGGTATAAATAATTATTATTCAAACCACAGAAGAAAATACCTTCCCAACCTCATATTTAGCCACGGCAGAATTTTCGGAGGTGAATGACTCGGGTGAGACAAATAGTGGAAAATGTGGTTGACAGCTGTCTCTGATTATAACTGGGCCGGCAGAACCGGGTAACCATCTGGCAGAGCTGACCCTTCTGTCACTGGTTGGGAGGGGAGTTGGGGCTGAGTCTGGCCTGTAGCTCTTCTATTTGAAGGAATGGAGTGTCTTCTTTATTCCCGTTTCTCTGTGTGTCTCAGGGAGCTGGACCCCATCCTGACTGAGGTCACCCTGATGAATGCCCGTAGTGAGCTGTACTTACGCTTCCTCAGGAAAAGGATCAGCTCAGATTTTGAGGTGGGAGACTCCATGGCCTCAGAAGAAGTAAAGCAAGGTGAACATGTTTCCTATATTCTGTGGGAGGGCTGGCATATATAGTCGGGACTGTCTCGTCATAGTTAAGCCACACACCTTTTACTGAAGAAACAACTGGGGCTCATTAGTCTCTATGGGTCTCCAGCCAAATTGACTCTCTGGAGGAAGTCTTAGTGGTACCATGTTTTAGAATTGGAATGAGCCTTTGAGGCTAATTGTTTCATAGGCAAGGAAAACTGCTGCCAAGTTTTAAATGCTTTTCCCTGCACCTTACTTTGTGCCAGCTCTGCTTTACATTTTTGTAATTAGGTATTTAGGAGGTACGCATGTGACAGGTAGTTTAAATAATACAAAATACATATATAAAATATGAGGGAATTTTTAGGAATGATTGAAAGTTTCTAATTTTTTTTTCTTTTTTTGCACAAGTGGGCCTTAAACTTGAGATCCTCCTGCCTAAGGCTCCCAGGGTGCTGGAATTACAGGCCTATGCCACCTGCACCAGGCAATAACACTTTAAAATATATATATATATATACATATATATGTATGTATATATATATGTATGTATGTATGTATATATATGTATATATATATCAAAAATGTCTTCCACCTCTTCCCAGTCTTCCAGTTCCACCAATGACAATTTTTGAAGAGAAAAATTACGGTGAAAAAAAGATGAGCCACAATCCAATTTCACTTATAAATTGACTCTCTAGGTTTTTGTTGTTGATTTGAGAAAGTCACTGTTGCCCAGGCTGGCCTGAGCTCAAGCAATCTTTCTGCCTTAGACTCCTGAGTAGCTGAGACTACAAGCATACACCACTGTGCCAGGCTGACTTTTCAGGTATTTAAAATGACCATTTGCTAGATCCAGTGGTGCACACCTGCATTTCCAGCTACTCGTGATACTGAGGTTTCAGGATTGCTTTAGCAGAGGAGTTTAAGATAAGCCTATGCTACATAACAGGCCCTGACTCAAAAAAGGTGACCATTAAATTCTTGGTCAGGTATGTACTGGGAACTCAAGCCCCAACCAGCATCTGTGGCATTCTGTATGCCAATAATACATGGCAGGGCCAGGGATTTAGCTCAGTTGGTTCCGCCACCTGCCTCACAAGTGCAAGGTCCCGAGTTCGATCCCCGGTACAAAAAAAAAATTCTAAATAATACATGGCAAGAAGGAGGATGTATGTTCATTTTTGAGTTTGGTGTTCATTTATATCAGTTACGGGCATCACTGTTCAGAGCTGTGTTGTTCAATACATTAGCCACATACAACTATTGAAATTCAAATTTAATTAAAATTATATTTTAAAATTCGGCTCCTCGGTCCCATTAACCACATGTGAAGTGCTCAATAGCTGCCCTGGCTATTGGCTACCATATTGGACAATATAGATATACAACATTTCTGTCATCACAGAAGCTCTTACCAAACAATTCTGATGTAGAGAATGAAATGTTTTGTATCTAATATATGTCAGTCTTTCCCCTAGAAACTTACATCTTTGAGTCCTATTAATCCTAGGCAGATAATGAAAAAAGGAGTAAAGTTATTTGTACAAAAGGAGTCATGTAATCTCTAATTATTATGATCTCCAATTAACTCCAATAATAGCAAGACATCTGGAAATAACCCAGATGTCCAAAAGTAGAAGAGCAGTTAAAACAGTATGGATTATCTATCTGATAAAATGTCACATAACCAGTAAAAGTAAGTGAGCCACCTGGACTGGTGGTGCACGCCTGTAATCCCAGCCCTCTGGGAGGTTAAACCAGGAAGATGGCAAGTTACAGCTGAGCCTGGGCAATTTAGCAACTTAGCAAGACCCCATCTCAAAATAAAAAATAAAAAAAGTAGCTCAGTGCAGAGGTACTGCGTTCAATCCCTAGTACCATCAAAAGAAAAAATAAGTGAGATATACAGAAACATGGGAATACATATAATTTTTTAATGCAAAATATAAAATGGTATGTGTACTACGATTATAACCATGTAAAGTGGGTACCTATTTGGAACAAAAACCAGAAAGGAACCTAAGTAAACGAAAAATGTTGCTTCATCCCCCTTGTTGAAAAAAGTGATACTCCTGTCTTGGTTGTCCCGTAGAGCACCAGAAGTGCCTGGACAAACTCCTCAATAACTGCCTGTTGAGCTGTACCATGCAGGAGCTAATTGGCTACTATATTACCATGGAGGAGTACTTCATGAGGGAGACTGTCAATAAGGTAGGACATAGGACACATCTCTTGCAAGGGAGGCTATTTATCCAAGAACCAGGCTGAAGGAGATGGCTGAAGTCTGTCATATTTCTTGGTTCTGCTTTGAGAACACTGGCATACAGACTGAGTGTCACTTCTTTGTGTGGTGAGAGGGTATCTATGAGCTTGTCATGCTCTTCATATCCCCAGCTGGGGTTTCTTTCCCAAGAATTATAAAAGAACAGCTCAGCTCCCCAGAGAGCCTACTTGTCCCCTGTCTCCCCAGAGGTATGTGGGTAAGGCACCTTGGTAAAGTAGGGCCTCTCCTGTGTCTAACATGCCAGATAATGGATGTCACCAAGACAAAGGCCCTTAGAGCCAGACATGGTGGTGCACACCTATAATCCCAGCACTTGGGAGGCTGAAGCAAGAGGATTGCAGGAGTTCAAGACCAGCTTGGACTACATAGTGAGTTCAAGGCCAGCCTGAACTACATAGCAAGACTATCTAAAAAAACCTAAATACATAAATGAGCTAAGCATAGTGATGCATGCCTGTATGCCTAGTACTTGGGAGGCTGAGGCAGGAGGATCACTGTGAGTTTGAGACCAGCCTGGGCCACATAGTTCAAGGCCAGCCTGAACTACAATAGCAACCCTGTCCCCAAAAAACAAACAAAAGAAAGAATAAATGAAGGAAGATATGACAAAGCAAAGGCCCTAAATACTAAATTTCCTAATGTAGTGATCAGTAGAGAAGTGAGCTATTTTAGCAAGCTGTAACTAGAATAGTTGTGGTGGGGAAACAAGACAAAGTGTAGAAAAGGGACCAGAGCCACGACCAGTATAACCAGAGTGACACAGCACTGGGATGCTTACTGGGAGCTTTGCTTTTGCACAGGCTGTGGCTCTGGACACCTATGAGAAGGGCCAGTTGACGTCTAGCATGGTGGATGATGTCTTCTACATTGTGAAGAAGTGCATCGGGCGGGCTCTGTCCAGCTCCAACATTGACTGTCTCTGCGCCATGATCAACCTCGCCACCAGAGAGCTGGAGGCTGATTTCAGGTACAGTTGACCCCCTTTCTCCTTTCTAGGCACAAAGGTCCTGGTCGTGGTTAATTGCTGAAGCTCATTTGTTTCTTCCCTTTTTTCTCTATGATTCTAGTTCGGTTCTATTCTAGACACAAGCTCCTATCCTTATCACAACATCTTGGGCTCCAGGTAGCTGTCAGCCAGATTTTAAGTGCCAAATTTCTGTTCCCTTGGAAGGGCCGTTGGCCCCTAGACCTAGGAAAGAGAGCAAGTGGTTCAATGAAAGCAGTAGTTGTAGCAAGAAACAGTCTATTCCCAGAGGCCAAGTGCTATGCTAATTCCCTGCTCATTTCTAGTTCTGACAACAACCCTGTGAACTAGTAAAAGTTTTGTAGATGTGGAAACTGGGACATCAAGACAGTCCATCTTTTGTCAAAGATCACACACCATGAGTGGTGAAATAGAGTCCAGAACTGATCAACTCAAAACCTTTCTTTCAACTCCTGCACAGTACTGCCTTTCACTAAGCATACGGCCTCCTCTTTGTTGGAGCCCAGTGGTGGTAACTGAAAGCCTCACAAGAAGTGCAGAGTTGGGGCCGGGGATGTAGCTCAGTGGTTCCGCCTTCTGCCTCGAAAGCGCAAGGACCCAAGTTCAATCCCCGGTACCAAAAAAAAGTGCAGAGTTGGCTAAAGGGACAACTACAGTGACATCATCACTGCCGTCATGGAACCCATGCTGTACCTATGGACCAAAAGCTGAGTCCAGCCTACCCTTCCCCCTAGCTCTGTTGCTCAATAAATCTGTGTCCCATCATTTAAAAAAAAAAAGTGGGCCAGGATGTAGCTCAGTGGTGCTGGGCCTGCCTGGCAAGTGCAAGGTCCTGAGTTCAATTGCCGGTACCAAAAAAAAAAATTCCTAGGCACAGTGGCACACACCTGTAATCCCAGCACTCAGGAAGCAAGAGGATTGTCATGAGTTCAAGTCCAGCCTGGGCTACATAGTACATTCAAGGCCAACCTGAACTACAGAGTGAGGCCCTGTCTCAAAAAGAAAAAGAATTGGCCAATTTCCTCTGTATATTCCTGCCTCATTGGTGTCCCCGAAGGGGTCTGGGTGCTGCCATACCCTGGCTTCTGAGGTCTCCTACAGTGGTCTCAAGGATTGGTTTTCTCCTCAAAAGCAACTGGTGCTACTGGGTCAGGGTAATGGGCACTTGGTCCCACTGTCCTGGAGGCCAGTCTAAGCACTGTCACTCCCCTATGTCATTCTGCCACTTAGGGGCGTTCTGTCCAACAAGCTGAGGATGGGCTTCCCGGCCACCACCTTACAGGACATCCAGCGCGGGGTGACCAGTGCTGTGAACATCATGCACAGCAGCCTCCAGCAGGGCAAATTTGACACAAAAGGCATTGAGAGCACTGATGAGGCCAAGCTGTCCTTCCTGGTAAGTGGTCCACAGGTTGTGACACTGGGTCAGCTTTTCCTAAGAGATTAAACTGCAGCCTCTGAGGCATAGTCTAAAAGCCTTAAGTTGAAGACTTTTCCTCCCATGTCTGTGTAAAGAGAAACTCCTTTAAGGAAAGCTCCTCCTAAAAGGCTCTAAAACCACTGCTTCCCCAGAGACATATTCTGAGCAGCCCACACCGGGATACACAACTCTCCTGCCAGAGGCTGGGCTGCCCAGCTCTCCTGAGTACTCATTCCCAAGAGCTCTGTCCAGCTGTTCAGGGGCCCTGCCAGGTGTCCAGCTTGGCACACATCTGCCACAAAACCAACTGTAACATCTGTGCCAGGCCTCCCAACTGCACATCTGAGGAGAGGCCTACAGCACAGGTGGGTTTAGTCCTTTAGGCCTCCCAAGACTGCTTTTCTAGCAGCTTCCTCTGGGAAGATGGCCCTATTAAAGCTCTTATTAAAGCACAGTGAATGACAGATGTGATGCAGCAGTGATTTCTACCAGTTGTCTGACAGCTGGGGAAGGAAAAGCATAGAAGGATGAAAGGATTTGTACAGGGTAAAAGCCAGTTTGTGATAAGCCAAAGACAACACAGGAGTCTGAAGCTCATAGGCCTCTCTGGAACATGCTGTTGTTTTGGTTTGTTTCCTGAGACAGGGTTTCACTGGTAGCCTAGGTTAGCCTCAAACCCATGATCTTCCTACCTCAACCTCCTGAGTTGAGTGCCAGGATTGTTGCCAGGCACCGCCACACCCAGCTGCACATGCTGGCATGAGCAGAACAACAGTGTCACAGGTCCACTTCTGCTCTGTTCTCCACACTGGCTAAACTATGAGTCTTTGCTCAAAGGCTGAAGGAAACATCTAATAGCAGAGTTCCCAGCAGAGCAGTCCACAGATGGGTTGGATGCAAAAATGTGTACATGTACTTTTCTAGAAACAAGGCCTTGGGCCAGGGATTTAGCTCAGTGGTTTCGCCGCCTGCTGTGCAAGCACAAGGAACCGGGTTTGATCCCCGGTACCAAAAAAAAAGAAACAAGGCCTTTAGCATCTATGGCCTCAAATTTATGTCAGTTCTCCTCTTGGGTGCTGAGATTATAGTTATGCCCCACAATGCCCAGCTTCTGGCAGATTCTTTTTTCTTTTTTTTTTTGTCAGATTCTGAAAGCGATCTGTGTCCTCAAAAGAGTTTAGAGGGGGCCCAGAGATTTAGCTCTGTGGCACTGTGCCTGCCTTGCAAGTACAAGGTCATGAGTTTGATCCCTGGTTCCAGAAGAAAAAAAAAAGAGTTTAGAGGGCCAGGGATGTAGCTCAATGGCATCGTGCCTGCCTGGCAAGCACAAGGTCCTGAGTTCGATTCCTAGTACCAGGGGAAAAAAAGTATAGAGCTGTTGCTTTCAGAGATAGAAGCCTAAACTTGCTAATACAGTGGACCCTTGAGTTATGACCAGCCTGACATACAAACCACTTGGGTTAACTGAGTTAATGGAAGATTCATTTGCCTCTTGTTATCTGTAGTATGTACCCAGGTAAACATCCAGTTCCCAGCTGTATTGACTTACAACCAACTTGAGTTACAACCAACCCTCGGGAACCAATCGAGTTTGTAAGTCAAGGGTCCACTGTATTTATCTTGCCCTTTTACAGGTGACCCTCACTCACTAGTCGTCAGATCCAATATGAAGGCTGTTGAGGCAGCCCCACCCTTTTCCTATCATTGGAAATATTTTCCCTGGACATGAATTCTGTTGCTAAAAGAGTGTCAGCCCAAACCAGTTGAAAAGGCATGTGCTGAAATCCTAGCAACTCAGGAGCCAAAGGTGGGAGGATCATGAGCTCTAGGCCTGGCTGGGCAGCCTTTACCAAATGTCCAGCAGCCAGCAACATATGATCATGAACTGTCTTCCTTTTTCTTCCCCACAGAACTTGCTTTCTTTTTTTTTGAGACAGGGCCTCACTATGTAGGTCAGGCTGGCCTCAAACTCACAGTGATCCTGCCTCAGCCTCCCAAGTGCTGGGATTGCAGGTGTCCGCCACCATACACAGCATCATTCTTTCATTTCTGTCCTCAGGAGCATTCATTGGCTTCTTGCTACCCACCACATCAACTCTAGATGTCTTTGCCTGGTTGGCTGTTTAAAGCCTCTGAAATCCAACCCATCTCCCTTTCCAGCCCTGTGTTCCACCACTCGACTACACATCCCCAAGGCTAGCCAGTGCCCTTCATGCATTTGTGCTCTGTGAGGACTTCCCGTTGAGCCAGTTTCATTGTCAGACAGCCCAGAAGATAAGGCCAGAAAGAAAGGTGAAGCTAACAGCTTAATGACAGATTTCTAGTTTTCCTGATGCCAAATACTTAAATGTCACTGCTTCCACCACAGGGCCTATTTTTTATGTCATTTTGATTCATTTGGCTGCCAAGATGAATTCCCTAACTGTACTGACAGCATTTGCCATGAGCAAGGGATAAGCCCAGTGAGTCCATGATTACAAGGTACAGGGGAAACTGTAAAATCAATACCATTTGAACCCAAACCCATTTTCCTGTCATGACAGTAATTCTTGATGCCCTCAAATGCCTTGCAAAAACATTTATGTTGTGGTCTTTGTCCTTCAGCCATCATGACAGTGCAGTTACTCCTCAGGAAACTTGAAGTGTGAGCAGGCTCATGCTGAAGCATTGTTAGCCTTTCTTATCCACACCCCCAATGGCCTAAGCAATGCTGTCCGCAGCAGGATTCTTCAGTAGTGGCTGAGCGCACACTGGCAAGGGAACCACACTGAGGTTCTGAGAGACACTCCTTGGAGTCTTGGGATTCTCTTTCTCCTTTTTTTTTCATTCATTCATTAATTTAATCATTTAGAGAGTCCCGTTATGTAGTTCAGGTTGTCCTTGAACTTACATGTAGCCCAGGCTGGCCCAGGCTGGCCCAGGCTGGCCTCAAACTCACAACAGTCCTCTTGCCTTGGCCTCCTGAATGCTGGGATTAGAGGCAGGTGCCACCACGACCAGCTAGGAGTCTCCTTTTATCCTAAAATCTTGTAGTTACTGGCTCATTGTTCCTCCCTACCTGGGCTCCTGGACATGCCACCAGCATGCCAGTCCAGAGGGGGTGGATGGATCCCTCTCAACCACTCTAATTCCTGCCACTTACAGCCTCTGGACTAATATCCCCCAGACTACAGCTGGGCTCGTGTGGCATTTACCTGCCCTAAAGAATCCTCAGTGCCATCCCATCATGCACAGGACAAAGCGCCAACTATAGCACCCAAGTCCTAGCTGGACCTCATACTCCTTTCCAGCTCTGCATCATCCACTCCTGCATGTCTGTGCTCCAGATACCTTGTGGGGGTTTCTGCAACTGCATTTGCTTATATTATCTCCTTTTCCAGAGTATTCACTCAGCCACTCATTGATTTAAGAGATTTCAAAAGCTGGGCATAGCAATGCACACCTGTAATCCCAGCACTTGGGAAGTTGAGGTGAGAAGATTTCTAGTTCCAGAGCTACATAGTGAGTTCAAGGCCAACTTAGATCACATAACAAGACTCTGTCTAAAAGAAAGAAAAAGAAACTTCTATACATCATGTGCTATTATGGATTCTAGAACTAAGCTGCCCAACATGTGACCATTAACCACAAGTAACTATTTAAATTTACATTCAAATTAAAAATCCAGTAGCTTTTCTTCCTTTCTTCCTTCCTTTTCTGCTTTCTTCTTTCCATCTTCTTCCCTTCCTTTCTCCCTTCCTCTTGCACCCTTTCTCCCTCCCTCCCTCTCTTTTCTTTTTCTTTTTTTCCTTCCTTCCTTCCTTCTTTCCTTCCTTCCTTCTTTCTTTCCTTTTACACTGAGCTTCATCCCAGCTATTTTTATTTATTTTTTATATTGAGACAGGGTCTCACTAAATTGTCCAAGCTGGGCTACATAGTGAGATTCTCAAAAAACCAAACCAGCTTGGCATGGTGGTGCACGCCTGTAATCTCAGCACTTGGAAGGCAGGAGGATCGCTGCAAGTTTGAGGCCAGGCTGGACTACATAGTGAGTTCAAGGCCAGCCTGAACTGCATAGCAAAACCTCATCTCAAAGAAAAACCAAACAAACAAAAATTCCAGTCCCTGAGTCATACAGACCACATTTGACATGCTCAGTAACTTCACATGGCTAGGGGCTAGTGTAATGGACAGTGCAGATTTAGAATATTTCCATCAAGAAGACATGGTGCTGTACTAGAGACACAGGAATGGTAAAGACAGGCCAGATCCTTGCCTTCGTGGGATCAAATTCTAGTGGAAAAGGCAGACAAGAAACAAATTAGAGCTGGGCATGGTGGCACACATCTGTAGCCCCGGCACTCAGGAGGAGGACAACCATGAGTTTGAAGCCAGTCGGGGCTACATAGTGAGTTCAAGACCAGCCTGAACTGTATAGCGAGACCCTGTCTCAAAAAAAAAGAGACTGCCCTGAACTACCTAGGGAGACTCTGTCTCAGATAGATAGTCAGAAAACTGGGTACTAAGAAGATATCCATGGGCTAAGGCTGTATCTCAGGGTAGAGCACTTGCATAGCATGCATAAGATCTTGGGTTCCATCCCCTGCACTGAAAAAAGAAAAGAAAAGGAACAGTGACCTGATAAGAGTCTTGTAAGTTCAGCTCAGCCACCAATTCTGCCACAGAGTTTTCCTTGAATGCCTCAGACCAAAGTTGCTCTTTTCCTCTAAATAGACATAGCAGTCTGTACCTTGATTATCACTTTTGTCAAGTCCTGCTTTTTATGACTGGTATTTCTATACCTAGTGTCTAGGGTAGGTGAGTAATGAAAGGAGGAGCCCCTTGGCCAGGAGTAGGGACTCTAGAATTGTAATCCTGGCTCCACTTTTGTGGCTCTGTCACTCTGAATTTCTGTCCCCATACCTATTTTATTTTTCTTCCAGGCATTTGCTACCTGAATCATATATTTGTTTACCTTCCGATTTCCCTTCTGGAAGATCAACTCTATGAGGAAATGGACTTTTTGTTGTTGTTTTGTTTTGAGCTGCAGATGGAATCCAGGGCCTCATGCATACTAAGCATGTGCAGTTCCACAAAACCAAGACCTCTGCCCCAAGGGAGTGAATTTTGTCTATTTTCTTTGCATCTCCCCAGTGTCTAGAACAGTGCCTGGCCCCTAGGAAGCGCTCAGACATACTTGTTGAATCAGTTGTTGGCCGACCTTGGTGAACCATTTCACCTTGAGGAATCTCATTTCCACCTATGAACTGGGGTTGATAATATATGACGGGGTAGGGATTTCTGTTGGGTCAGTGAGAGAGTAGGTCAGGAAATGCCTACTAGGTGTTAAGACTCTACATCCCTGACCCGAGCCTGCCAATTTGAAGCCCCAAAACTTACCCCAGACCAGTGTACCTAAGTCGTTTTTGGTCTGGAAGTGATCTGGAGCACAAAGACTAGAGCCTGGGTTCAGTGTATGTGTAGTCTGATAGGCACGGAAGGAAGGATGAGCTAGCCCCCTGTCCTGCCCCATCTGAGACCTGAGCTGACAGTGGTGCGGCTTTCCTCAGCCTGAGTCTAAACCCCAGCCACCCCTTCCTGAGGCTCCTCAGGTCCAGCTGTCAGCCAGTCTGGCATCAGAGTGGCCAGAAAGCCCAGTGGGAAAAAAGCCACATTCTTCTTTCTTCTTCTCTCAGGTGACTCTGAACAATGTGGAAGTCTGTAGTGAAAACATCTCCACTCTGAAGAAGACTCTGGAGGTACAAGGGAAATTGCTATGAGCCTTCTGCAGCTATGACTGCCTCATTTTGAGAGAGCCCTGTACATTCATCTTGATGGGGACCAGACCATTCCCTGCCATTGGGCCACATGTCTAGGGATTCACTGGCGATTGACATGGTAGCAAACCATGTATGGACTATTGGGGAAAGGTGTGGCCCAAGAGTTGGAAGATCAGAATTCAAATTAGAGCCAGGAGGCCCAGGGATTTAGCTCAGTGGTTTTGCCACCTGTTGTGCAAGTGCAAGGACCCGAGTTCAATCCCCAGTACCAAAAAAAAAAAATCAAATTAGATCCAGGTGTGATGGCGCACACCTATAGTCCTGGCACTCTGGGAGGCTGAGGTGGGAGGATTACAAATCCCAAGGCAGCCTGGGCATTTTAGTTACTTAGCAAGACCTTGTCTCAAAACAAAAAATTAGGGCCGGGGATTTAGCTCAGTGGCACCACACCTGCCTCACAAGTCCAAGTTCATGAGTTCAATCCCCAGTACCCCCCCACACACAAATTTTTTTTGTACCGGGGATTGAACTTGGGACCTTGTGCTTTCAAGACAGGTGGCAGAACCACTGAGCTAAATCCCCGGCCAACTTTTTTTTTTTTTTTTTTGGTTCTTGGAAAAATATGGAACCCTTCACGAATTTGCGTATCATCCTTGCACAGGGACCGTGCTAATCTTCTCTGTATCATTCCAATTTTAGTATATGTGCTGCCGAAGCAAGTACTGGACTTGAACTTTTGATCCTCCTGCCTCAGCCTCCCAGTGCTAGAATTATGGGTGTGCACCACCATACCTGGCTAAGCTGTGGTCCTTTAGATTGTATTCCTAGCTTCATCCATAACACCAATCTGTAAGATTTTGAAGTAAAATACTGGAAAATGTGAAAAATTCATAACTGAGTCAGGTGTGGTGGTACACAGGCATTGGGCTAAGCGCTTGCAGCATCTCATAAAACTGTCACAATCAACAAGGGAGCAGGAGTCTGGTTCCCATTTTATAGATGGAGAAATTAAAGCTTGTAAACTTTAAATCATTTGCCCATGTTCACTTGACAAATAATCACTGAGCCAGGAATTGAACCTAGAAATGTGTGGCTCTAAAGGTATAAATTTTTTGGTTTTGTTTTCCCCTCACTTACCCTGACACTGCTACCCCCAGATTCCAAAGGAGAGTGGGAGCCAAGTGGAAAGCCACTCGGACAGAACCCAGGTTTCTTGCCTAAGTTAGGCCGTAGCAGTCTGGTTGTGAGGTACCCCTCACATTCTCTTGTCTTTGGCATGCCCAGTGGTCTGACACCATGTGCCGTGTCTCCCGTAGAGTGACTGCACCAAACTATTCAGCCAGGGCATTGGAGGGGAGCAGGCCCAAGCCAAGTTTGATAGCTGCCTTTCTGATTTGGCTGCTGTGTCCAACAAATTCCGAGACCTCCTGCAGGTAAGGCCCAGGTTTAGCTGCTGCCCAGGTCCGGTGTCCATGCACTGCTCTGAGAAAACTTGTTAACTGGCTTACTGTGGGTGCCACTGTTTACAAGGAGTGGGGTGGGGGGTAGCATGCAGGCTGCTGAAGTTATGCAGATCCCTTGAGACTAAAGGCTCCACTGGTTTCTCAGCAGTTCAGCTGTCACACTGACAAGCAATTGTCTGGTCCTCTAGTGTCCACTTAGCCTCACAATGACAAGAGCCCTCAGAAAGATCCTCAGAGGAAATGAACCACATGGTTACTCTCTCTGTTCTGATGCTTGGCCCTAGTAGCACCAGGCACTCTGGAGATCTCCTCTTTAGAGTTTACTAGATCAGCCTCTGGGCCTGGTCTCTAGACCTGAATCTGTACAGATCTGGATGTGTTGTTCCTGACTCCTTTTATTAGCATGATCTCCACTATGCTTCCCCGGAGGTGTGCAGAGAGACTCAGAGCTAGAAGACAGCCCAGCAGTCAGAGAAGGGGTAGAGGAGAAGAGAGGGCAGGGGTGGGGCGTGTGTGTCAGATGTGTCTCTGCCCTGTCCCTGTGCAGGAAGGGCTGGCGGAGCTCAGCAGCACAGCAGTGAAGCCGCAGGTGCAGCCATGGATCAACACCTTTCTCTCCGTCTCGCACAACATAGAGGAGGTGAGCCTGACCACAGCATTCATCTAGTCTGGGCTTCCTTCTTGCCCTCTTCCCCCAGCCGGAGGACAGTGCAGCTGTCTGCACAGACTGGACCTTACCTGCTATCCAGCCCACTGAGACAGGAAAGAGCTTGTTCCTGCAGTCGGAAGGCTCAGAAATATGTGAAGGAAGTTTGTCTTGACCTGACAAATCCCTGTTTGCTTGGTTTATTTGTGTGGTGCCAGAGATTGAACCCATAACCTTCACATTTGAGATATATCCCCAGCCCATGTTCTTTGATGTTTTGAGACAGGGTCTTGCAAGTCTGCTAAATTGACCAGGCTAGACTTGAACTCACAGTTCTCCACAATCCTTCTGCCTTAACCTTCCTGCTGGAACTGCAGGTGTATGCCACCATGCCCGGCTTATTGGGGCTATTTTTTGCCACACCTATCATAGACTAAGTAGCTTTTGTCTCCTAGCTGAGTGCTTTTACTACTCCAGAACATGAGCTACAGGAGAAAACAATGGCCTTACCCCAAACTGGGGGCTACTGCTACAGCCCAGGACTGTTTGCTGGCTGGAGGTGCAGTGATGCAGCAGCAGGTTCTGCCAGCCTGGGGATCAAACTGATTTTAAACTGGAGGTATCAGAGCTGGGCGTAGTGGCACACGTCTATAATCCCAGCACTCAGGAGGCTGAGGCAAGAAGATCACTGCCATTTCAAGGCCAGGCTGGGCTATATATTGAGATGAAGGCCAGACTAAACTACATAGCAAGACGATGTCTCTAAATTAATAAACTAGAGGCATCAAGCTACAGGGAGGCAGGACCTGTCACATTTTTTTTCTTAGAGGGGTAGAAGTGGAGTGGGGGTCAGTGGTAATTTTGAGAAATAGGTCCATGGTGACACTGCCCCTCTTTGCTTCCTGACAATAGGAAGAATTCAATGACTATGAGGCCAATGACCCTTGGGTACAACAGTTCATCCTTAACCTGGAGCAGCAAATGTCAGAGTTCAAGGTGAGTCAGGGCTTAGGGAATTACCTATCACACTAGAACCTGTGGTTGGTTACTCCTGTGGCAGACTTTGCAAGCCTTTCCGTGCCCCGTAACTGTCCCCTCCCCTGGAGACTCCAGTGGGAAACGGGCCAGGGGGAGCTCCCATGGATGTCACACCTCTCCGCAGGCCAGCCTGTCCCCAGTCATCTATGACAGCCTGACCAGCCTCCTGACCAGCCTTGTTGCTGTCGAATTAGAGAAAGTGGTGCTGAAATCCTCCTTCAACCGGGTAAGATCAGGGGCTTCTCATCTTCCCTGAGGGAAATGTCACACCACCTTTTTGCCACCTGTAGATCCTGTGCATCTTCACCCAGTCCTGCCCTGGCCCAAAGCACAGTGTAGCCACAGCACCTGCCTGAGGGGCAGCTGGGGCTGGTTCTGCTTGGCCATAGGGCCAGGCTTACAGAGACACTAAGGGTTCTCTTTTGCAGCTGGGCGGGCTGCAGTTTGACAAGGAGCTGAGGTCGCTCATTGCCTACCTTACCACGGTGACCACCTGGACCATCCGAGACAAGTTTGCCCGGCTTTCCCAGATGGCCACAATCCTGAATCTGGAGCGGGTATGTGGGGCTCCCTCAGTCTAGCCAGGGAAAGGCAACTAGAAAGAGGCAAAGTTTGGATCCTGTCGCTCCTTTATGTCTGCCAGCATCCTACCCCACCCCCAACCCCAGGCACCCCTGCTTTTGCCCTTGGAGGACCCTAGGGCCTCCCCACAGGGTAGCCCTACCTTGCCGACTGGTTTCCATTCTTTCCCACAGGTGACTGAGATCCTAGATTACTGGGGTGCCAACTCCGGTCCACTGACCTGGCGCCTCACCCCTGCTGAAGTACGCCAGGTGCTGGCTCTGCGCATAGATTTCCGGCATGAGGACATCAAGCGGCTGCGCCTATAGAGGCCATGGTGAGCCCACTGGCCCATCACACTTCTGCACCTGTTCCCTCAGCGCCCAAAGCCAAGGACCTGTGTGGCTATTCAGCTTCCAGGAGCTCTTCACAGTCCAGACCATTCCACCACTGACAGGAAACAGGCTGGACTCATTCCGAGTTTGCCCTGAGACCTAGCTGGTATGCTCTGGGGGCAGCCTTTGCCCACCAGGAGCTGGAGAAAACAAAGGCAGGCGGTGTGTAGGCCAGGCCAGCCTTCTGTGTGGGTGGTCATTCTCTGGCCCCAAACTGCGGCAAACATGCTGCCCCGCTAGCCTCCAAGGACCTGGGTGCATGTGGGGACTTGGGAATTGGGGTTGACATCAAGGAGAGACTGTGATGTTTAGGAATAAACATCAAAATAAAGACACTTCTGGGAAGATGCCAGTGTGCTGGTTCCAGGGAGGGCTGGCTGCTCTGGGGCAGAACAGGTCCACAGTCACACTGAGATGTGAAATCAGATGCCCAAGGCCTCAGCCTCCCACACCTCCCCGCCACTCTGGGACCCTCATCCAACCCTGGCCCCTCACCTTCCCTCGTGGGCCCACAACACCAGCTGGGTCATCCCAGGGACAGTGTCTCACAGTGCCGGGGAAGTGGGAATTGCTCCTAGCAAAAACAAGAAAGCTTTCTGAGGACAACCTTGCAGAGCAAAGTGAATTTATTCCAAGAATGTCAGTCTTGAGAGCCCTTTGCCCACAAGCACTGCTCACTTGGCACTGTCTGTATTGTTGCTAAGGCCTGGGTTGGCAGGGACTTGTAGGACCACACCTGCTCAGTGCCACAGACCTCACCCCACTTCTCCAGGAGGGCGGTGGAGTCTTGAACATAGTCTACAACCTTAACCAGGCCACAGGAAATGCTTCAAAGGCCCTCTAGGGTAGCCTTACCAAGGGACCCCAGACATCTGCTATGCCTGGTTGTCATCCCCTCCTCCCAGGACCCTGGTGGACAGAGAAGGCCAAGGCTGTACTGGGCCACACAATGTGTAAAGGACACGGGGGACAATGAGCTTTGAGTCCTAGTCCAGATGTAACAAAGGCCAAGCCTCAGCCGTTGTCACCAGGAGGTACAGTCCTGTCCCCAAACTGCCTCCCTTGCCTAAGTCTTGCTTTCTGTGGGGCAGATTCAAAGAGATGAGTGGGGAGTTCAGGCTGAGAGCTCCCACAAGGGAACAAAAGGCATGGTAGCTGTAGACCTGGTGTTGCCTACTCAGAGGGCCCGGCCCCATGGCGCTGGGCATCAGGTGGAGCTCTCACTCCCCACCAGCCGCAGGCTCAGGCCCTGAATGTCCACTTCCACCAGATGGATGCTGTAGTTGCCAAGGCCCTGGAGAGAAGAGAAGGTGGTTAGAGGCCTCTGGGAAACTCTCTGGCCTTCTGGAGGCTCAAGAGATGGCCAGGAGTCTTGCATATACAGCCCCTGGTGAGCTGGCAGGCCACAGTGAGGTCTCTTTCCCTACCAACTACCAACCCCAACACCATCCTGTACCTCAGTCTTGGCCAGCACAGCCTCCACAACTTCCTTTTGCCGTGGTTCCTTAGTCAACAGATAGAGAAAGCCCCCGCCACCTGCTCCTGCCAGGCTCTGGCCATGCACATAGGGAGCCAGGACATCCATCATCCGCCGCACAGCCAGGGGCTCACAACCTGGAGCCATGAGCTTCTTCTGCTCCCAGTACGAGGTCAGGTACAGGCCCAGGAGAGGCAGGCTTCCTGTGGGCGGGCCAGAGTCAGGAGGTGTGTTCCCCAGGTCTAGGCACTCAATGCTCCTTTATGGAGTGAATGAAGTGCAGGTGTCCGGGGTACCCCAGCTTCAGAGCTGGCTGGAAACAGGAGCAGTAAAGCCTCCTGCATAGGGCTGCAGACTAAAGTGCACAAACCAACATGGTACCCATGTAGCACACACATGGAGCCGTTCTCTGAATTCCCTGCTCTCAGTGCCAAGCCTCTTCCCCATCTGCCTCCTGGCAGGTGGGGCTGGAGGACCCTTCCCATGAAGCAGGTTTGGTCCTTAGATTCAGCTTCTGTGTATGTGAATGCCAGGATTAGAAAAGGAGACTTCTGTTCCCCGGACCTAATATCAGATGGCAGTGCTGAGCCTTGCCAAGGCCCCTTGCCTCTGGGATCCATAAGTGACGAAGCACTTGCTCCTGACGCACTGACCTCCCACCAAAGAGCACCTCACCTTGGCGGAAGGCTTCAGTGCACTCCTCAGTCTGCCGCACCAGGCTATGAGCACTGTGCACCACGACAGGCAGCCGGGCATACCAGCTCCTTAGCACATCCTGTAGAGGCACAAGGGGGTGCCATGAGAGTCCCAGCCCAGCTGAGCCATCTGCCTCCCTCACCCTGGGCTACGCTTACCTGCAGCAAATTCCGTGCCAGACGGGTCTTGCCAGTGTACACCAGGAGCAGGTGCTCATTGAGCTTCTGGACAAAGCCTTCAGGCACAGTGATCTCTTCCACCTCCACCTTCAGTGGAAGCTGGGCCCGGGAGCGCCCCACCTTGATGCCAGGCATCAGGCCACCCACCTGGTCCTGCCAGCCACCTCCTGCAACCCCAGGGCCCTGTCACTGTTGAAGCCTATTTGGCTCAGCCCAGGCTCCTGGCCCTCCATACTTGGGACCAGCTGGGACAGGTGAGCTGTGTGGCTCAGGGCAGGAACAAGCCACCTCCAGCAAGGGAGGGGGCTGCATTCCAGAGCAAAGCTTGGAACTCACAAGGCTTGCCTTTCAACAAAGACCTAATATGTCAATGGAACTGGGACAAACCACATCCAAGGGTTGTACATTAACCTCTCCCCTCAAGGGAGTTGAGCCAGAGAGGAAAGGGAACACGACTTCCCTGTGACCTAGTGATCCCCCTGTATTTTGTCCTCTCAGTGTGTACGTTAGAAATAGGCTTTTCAGTACCTCTCATTTTTCTCTTATTTAACTTGAAAGAGTTATATACATTTTGCTTTAGTAATGAAAAATATGGTATCTTCCCCTTGCAGCTATGTAAAAATGACAAAGCTAGGTGAAGTGGGGCAGGCCTGTAATCTTAGACACTCAAGAGGATGAGGCAGGAGGATCACAAGTTCAAGGCTAGCCTGGGCAACTCAGACCCTATCTCAAAAAATTATTAAAAGGGCTAGGGATGTAACTCAGTGATAAAGCACTTGCCTAGCATATGCAAGGCATTCAAAGAATGAAAGGGAGACAGGCAGACAAAACAAGAACTACTTCTGGGACAGGCTCTCAATGTGTGGGGGGGGGGGGGACTGGGAATTGAACCTAGAGGCACTCTACTACTGAGCTCCATCTCCAGTCCTTTCAGACAGGATCTCACTAAATCACCCAGGCAGGACTCAAACTTGTGATCTTCCTGCCTCAGCCTCTCTCAGTGCTGGGACACAGATGTATGTACCACTGTAGCTAGGCCCTCAATTTTTTTTTTTTGGTACCTGGGATCAAACTCGGGAGCTTGCACTTTCGAGGCAGGTGGCAGAACCACTGAGCTAAACCCCCGGCCCAAGCCCTCAATATTTGAGGGAGCACTTGCAAGTACAGAATACAAATTGCAGGGTGCAGCTGAGACTTTTTTTTTTTGGTACCGGGACTCGAACTCCGGTCCTTGCGCCTGCACAGCAGGTGGCGAAACCACTGAGCTAAATCCCCAGGCCTGCAGCTGAGACTTTTAACAGCCAGAACACAGTAGTAGGACAGAACTGGAAATGTCGAACTCCTAAGTGTGCCCCTCTCCTCAGGGCACTTAGCACAGTCTGGCAAGATACATTCTCTTGAGTGGTTATTAATACGCATCTCCCTTCTACCTCATGACTGTTCAGGGCAAGGACCTTGTTTTTGCTCATTTTATCCCCAAGACTCAACAGTGGGTCCTCAATAAATAGATATCAATTGACCAAATGAAGAACTCAAACCAAAACTTCCTCAAAAGGAAATGGAACCATGGAACCCTTTCCCTAGTGACTGATTATGGGATGTGAATCATAAGAATGAAAGGAGTGGGTGGGCCACACAGGGCTGGGAGAAGACACCATAATCAGGCATCTGCATGTCTCTGGCAACTTCTTTCCAGGATCCTGCTGAGAGGAGGCCTGGCTGAACAGAACCCTAGGATCTGGAGGCAGTCAAATCTCTGGCCACTCCGTACTGTGCACAGATTCCAAGGTGCCATCACGGCCAGAAGGAGAGAAGCCTGGCACCAGGAACATCCTGTTAGATCATAGCCTTGGCTGGGCCCTTGCTGTCCCACCATATGGCTATGGCCGGGGAGCAGTGTGGGTACAGATGATCACTGCCCAAGGGAGAGGCAAGTTGCCAGGACAGGCCGAGGGTCCATCCTCTACTCCAAACCCAGCTCTGGCCCGCAGGGCCTGAAGGACAGCCTGGATAGAGGCAGAGTCACAAAGACTAGCACTTGCACTGGGTGTAGTGGTACACACCTGTAATCCCCAAACTTTAAGGAGCAGCAGCTATGAGGCTACTGGAACATCCCACGCCAATAGAGAGGAGCCCCCCAAGATGCTTGGGAAGGTATCAGAGACCTCCCTCTGCCCTGAGCCATCACATACCTGTGGTGAGCACCTGTTCCAGGTGCAGCACTGCATGGATCAGGGCCTCTGTGCTCATAGCCCAGCCTGCAGCCCGCTGCACAGCAGCCAGGGCAGCACCAGCCAGGATGCTGCTAGTCCCTGCAGGGTGCAAAGGAAAGGTCGGGCATGAACTGCCTCACTGCCAGCTCAGTCCCATCCCACTCTCCTTGCACAGGCCAGGGAGGGGGATCACAAGTAAGGCTGGAGAGCTGTGACCCACTCACCAAGACCGGAGCCATGGGGGAGCTCAGACCACGTGTGCAGCTCAAAGCCACCCCCAAAGGTCTGCAGCAGCTGTTGGCGCAGCGGGAGCTCAGAACGGACGTCTACAATCCCCGAACAGATAAAGGCCGCCTTCAGCAGGGCCCCTGCAGAGGGAAGGGCACAAAGCAAGGAATTTGTTCTCCTCAGACACCAATCCAACAGCCCACTTCCCCCTGCAACTTCCCAGCCCAGAATGGGGCACATCTGGTGGGACAAAAGCCTAGTGGCAGCGCCATCCCCATCCTCAAGCCACAAAAGGGCCCATGGGCTCCCTAACATGGGCGAATGTGTCATCTCTTTTGCCTGTGCCTGGATGTGGCCAGGCAGGATGACTTCCAGCCCTTTCCTCTCCTTCAGGACTCCCCAACCACACTGGCTAGCCCTCAGGCCAGGCCCCAGTGGCCTGCAATCCCCACAGAGGGACCTCCAGGTTCTGCACACTCCCAGCTGGCTGAGTATGCCACCCCACCTGCAGCTGTGCTGGGGTGCCCTGACCTGATGCATGGGGCTGGCAGTAATCCTGCAGGTCCTCCAGACTCCGGCACACTATCTTCAGGGCCTTCTCATCCTGCCGAGACCCCACCGCCAGCCACAGCTCAGGCTCCAGGATACAGCGTGCCCTGGCCCCGATGGGCCGGCGGCCATCCACTCGCACAGCCAGGCCCAGCACTGCCCCACCAAGCTCATAGGCAAGAGGTGGTGTGTCACTCCAGCCCCCTGAGGCAGTATGGCAAGCTGGTCAGTCTGCCAGAGTGGCCCTGGGGCAGTTACCCTCATCCCCATTCCCACAAGGGGCTCACCAGAGAAATCCACACGGGCTGGACACTCGGCCACCACCCACTGCCCAGGTGCCGGAAACTGTACCGGCTCCGTGGAAACAAAGTGCTGGGCTGTCATCACAGCCTGGCGGATCAGGATCTGCCCAGCTCCCTCATAGTGGCGAGCAGCTCGCACCAGCAAGGCTGGCCTGCCAGGAGGGAAGGGAGATAACTACATGGAGCCCCAAGCTGGGGAAAGATAACCTGGTTTGAGGGATCTGACTGTTCTGAGTATCCGAGGGTGCCCCACCTCTCTCTGAAATTCCACCATCATGAGCTACCTCCTTAGAGGGCCAGGGGCTTCTCAAAACACCCACCTGCTCAGCCACTTGTCCCTCTCCTGGGCAAGTGCCTTCACGCCCCCTGCTAGGTCTCCACACTCCAGGAATGAGAAGGGCCGCACCCACTCAGGGTTGGCAGCTGGCCCGCTCCGTAAGCCTCCCTGGCCCTCTGCCATGCAGCCCAGTACGTCTGCCACACAGGCCAGAGCCCGAGCTGCCACACCAGGGTCTCTGGCCCCCGCTGCAACTGAAGGACCAGAAGTTAGAAGTGCAGGGGAGGGGGCTGGCCTCCAACACCCCTGGCCAGAAAGGCTACTCGACAGGTACTCCACACCCCTCACCCTCCCAGGTTTTGCTCAAGATGTGTCCTGCCTGTGAATACCCCACTCCCTGCCCACCAGGGTTTTGTCACCCTGCCAGCCGAGCCCAGATGTACCCCTTCACCCCCACCCAGAGCACCCATACAAATTAAGAACTCAGACATCAAACCACTTAGGTTCTAGTCTCTGTGTCTCCACCAACTAGCCTTAAGGCTGTGGGTATGGCCGGGGATTTAGCTCAGTGGTTCCACTGCCTGCTGCACAAGCTCAAGGACCCAAGTTCGATCCCCCATACCAAAACAAACAAACAAACAAAAAAAGGTGTGGGTGAGGGACTTAAACAGAGATGACGTTCCAGTGCCATTATTCTCAGGGACCATTAATGAGGTAGGTGCTATCTCCAAGGTTGGGGCTCTGAGCCTTCAGGCAATGTGTCTGGGACCCCAGGTAGAGTTACCCACATCCCTCAGAGCTTTGGGGAGCTCAGCACCCATGTCCTGGACCCCCAGCACAGAATATGAAGTACTCCCAACACTGACCACCCAGAGGCCCAGCTCCTCACTGAGGGAGATGAAGCCTAAAGTAAACTCAATCTCTCCACTGCTATAGAGTTGCTTGGCTCCCCAGATGCCTCAGTTGACGGTCCAGAGGTCCAGAAAAAAGGTGACCCTGGCCTGACCCCCAGTATCAACACCCAGCACACTCACCCTGGTCCAGCATGGCCAGCAGGGGCCCAGGACAGCCCTCGTGGACAGCAGCCCAGATCAAGGGGCGCAGGCTAAGGTCCTGCCGGGTTTCCAACACATGCCTCGCCTTCTGCACGGCCTGCAGGAAGAACAGGCCCCGGCGGGAGGCCAGTGTGGCAGCCCGGTCCAGGTGGGGCTGCAGCTGCTCCCAGGATAGGCGCCAGGAGGCTCGCCAGGCCCGCAAAGCCCTGCCTCCATCCTCCCGGGGGTCCAGCATCCACAGCATGTCCTGGGGCCCTGGGGCCCTCGACGGGTGGAGCACAGGAAAGAGGCGGGCGTTGAGAAGGTGACGCTCTGTGGGGGACGTGTCTGGGTCCCACAGGTCCCAGTCTCTGAGGTGGGGAGAGGTACATTGGTGAGAAGGAAACCACAGCTCCTGCCTCCTCCCCAAGACTTGACCTGCCTGTCTATTCACGGACAGCACAAACTCCTCCAGGGGCAGCACAAGTGGGCAATTCCAGGAGAAGCCACACTGCCTTGACACCTTTCCCAGGCCACTGAACAGAAGTCCGAGGTCTGAGAACCGCCAGGCATTTGGAACTGCCCAGGGGGAAGAGACCCTAGCTGCCCCAAACTTCCCAGGATCAGTGGGATGACACAAGTCAGGGCTACTCTGGGGCAGGGGATGAGACAAGCCTCAAAGAAGCAGCCACGCTGGCTGCCCAGGCCCACAGAGACCCTCCAGGGCATCTACCTTACCGGATGCCAGTCTTCTTGAAGAATTCACTCCAGGACATGTTGAGATATGTGCCTGCCCCCTGTCTCTAGGGGGAAGAGGAAAAGCCATTACCGGTCTGGGGCCCTTAAAGGGAAGGCATTAGGGACACTAGGCCAGAGGACCGAGAACTGCTCGGGTGGGGACTGAGACACATGTTCTGAAACAACCTCAGTGCTCTTCCCCAGCTGCCTGGAACTTGGACAGAATTCAGGATCCTAGACTTGATCCTCCATAACTGGCTCTGGAACCCAAGTTGGGTCACCTCCCCTTCCAACCTGAGTCTCCAGCCTGTAAGATGGGGATAAAAATCCCACTTAGGGCTGGGGATTTAGCTCAGTGGTTACACCGCCTGTCTCGAAAGCCCAAGGACCCGAGTTTGATCTCCGGTACCAAAAAAAAAAAAAAAATCCCACTTAGCCCACCTAGGAGAGCCTGCTGAGACTCCCAGCCACACCTTCCCACACCCTGTCCCTCAGGCTGGTGTTCAGACGGCCCTGCAGTGGGATAAGGATCAGATTCTGGGGGTTCCCCAAAGCCTGAAGATGGGGGTGAGAGCACGTAAGGCAGGCACCTACTTCCCAGGTGTCCAGACGACCAACGAGGGTGAAGGCACGGCCCAGAGAGCCAGGCAGCTGCACATGGTGTCCCTGCAGGACAAGATCTTGCAGCTCCAGGCCACGCAGCGCCTCAGACTGAGCTGTGTCTAGGTTACTCACGAAGCAGCCAGAGCCGATATGAATGGGGCCCTGCAAGGAAGAGAACAGGCATCCTGGGCAGGCAGCACATGGGCCCCCAACAAATGCAGAACCCTGGACCCTTCGCCATCCCTCCCTCTGCCTGTGCCCTCAGCCCTCACCTGCAGGTGGCAGTGTTGTATGACACTCCCTGGCCCCAGGTGGACGGCACCCTCCAGCAGGCAACCGACCACAGAGCTCCCAGTCTCCAGGAGCTGCTGCTCCTATGAAGCCAAGGAGGAAGATCATGAGGGCCGAAGACCAGGGGCCGCCTCAATTTTCCCACAGCTGTGGGGCAGCTAGGCCCACTGTTTTCTCGACCCTCCAGCTGGCCAGGTCCCTTCCTGGCCCAGCCTGAGGCCTCTTCCCATCACACCTCCCCAGCTACTCCCACCCCACCACCCTAGGGCCACCTCTGATCCACCTGTCCCCTTCCTCAGCATCATGGCACCAACCCAGGCCTGTCACTTTACATGTGCCTGTGTCCCCGAGGAGAGAGGTACTCAGCTTCTCCCACATGCACCCCTTGAGATAAAACCCTGACTTGGCCAACCACTGCCTCTGTGCTCTTGGCACTTAGCCTCTATCAGCCTCCAGTGTCTCATGCATGAAATGGAGACTCACAGGTAAGGTGTTCTCAGCATGGGCTACTCCCTTCCCAGGAGCTCACAGACCACCTGACCCCAGGCACCCAGCAGGCACTTCTGAGGAGAAGGCAAGTCTCACCTCCACCTGGGAGTGGATGATCTGCACCCTGGGGACCCCTGGCAGCGTGAAGTTGTGCAGGAACTCACTGGCTGAGGAGGTCATGTAGCTGTAGCTGCCGTCAGGGACATACGCTGTAAAGACACAAGTACCAACCCCAACCTCATCCCTGCTGCAGCTGTGGTGCCAGGTTGGGCCTCCTGCCAGTGGATACATCCTCCTCAGACACTAGGAGGGAAGGCATGGTGATGAGCCTGCTAGGCTAAAGTGGAAGCTGAGGTCCAGAGATGCCACAAGCTGCTTAAAGCCCCTCAAGTGGACAGACTACAACTGGAGCCCAGAAAAGAGACAGGAAGGGAGATGTCTCAGTGGAAGGGCTCTGAGAGGGTCATTATCCAGTCCATGAGCAGCTTCTTAGGCCCACATGCAGGGGCAGCCTCATTCTGGGGGTCCTCATGCCCAAGGTCTTCCCAGCCCAGAGAGGCGACAGAGAGGTACACACCCATGGTGAGCGGCTGATCTCGAAGCTCCCTCCACAACTGGGCCCGGGCACCCTGCAAATAACCTGCTACATCCATGTCACCTTGCCCCATCTCTGGGGGCCGCCCAGCCAGGAAGACCTCTCTGCTTGTGTTCCGCGCCATGCAGAGCAGGATGTCGAAAAACAGAGACAGCTGGAGTGATGGTAAGGAGCATAGCTACTGTTGGAGCATGACTGCACAATCCGAAGGCTGAGCTGGGACAGTCCCATCTGCAGAGATGCTGACCCAGAGAAGGAGCTGGCCTGAGGTCACACAGCACCTCACCCTCACCCAGGGGCCCTCAGCTGCCCTCCCCCATCACCTGGACAGGCCGGGCTCCAGAGTCCAGGCCCATATAGGTGCAGGCATCCAGAGGTGGGCTCACATGGGTGGCCAGGAGGTGCTCGGCAGTCTCCACAGAGAAGAAGACAACCCCGGAGACCTGGAGAGACCCATAGCAAGGGTCAGCTGGAAAACCTGGGGCCAGGCTCACCATAACCAGGAAGGGCACATGCAGATGGGTCACACAAGGCCAGGTGCTATGCTAACCAGGGACCACGGTCTTCTGAGCAACCCAGCACCTGGCCCCCAGGTTTACCTGGGGCAGCTCCCACCCAGGCACCTTCTAGGACTGCCTTTGATTCTCAAGCCTCCTCTAAAACCCAGTTTTCCATCTCCCCTGAGCAAGTCCAAGACTGTTCCCCCAATTCCTTCATTCTGGAAGCATGAGTCTGGGTCTCTGCCTCTTCCCAACTGCACTCCCTGACTCAAAGCTTTCTAATTCAGAGCAAGACCCTGAACTCCAAAGCTACCCCTTCCTCAGATTCTGGCTCCAGCTGCTCAACTGAATGCGAATTCCAGAAACTTCTTCAGATTCTGGTTCTAGCCTGCCCTGGAATCTTCTAGAAGGAATAGAGCTCTTCCCCCAAGAAGGAGACCAGACTCTCTCTCTTCTACCCCAAAAGGTGCCCAAAAGTCCCCAACCCAGCAGCCATACCAGTGGCACCTGCCCATCAGGTCCGACACACCGCTGTATCTCTGCTTCAGTGCCTTGGTAGTAAATGTCCAAAACGAAGCCCTATGTCAGGGGAGGAACAGAGTTAGGGAAGGGAGCAGAGAGGACCAGGAAGGCAGCACAGCCATAGGTGTCACCAAGTGAAAACTTAGGAAGCAAGTCTGGCAGGTACGAGTGTACTCATGAGGACACCAGAGCCTGAGACTTCTACCCACAGAGGGCTGAGGACAGGCTTTCATCGTCTTCAAAGCCCCAGAGCCCAAGCACAGAGCCTAGCATGCGGTCAGTGTGAAATGCATTTTGGGGAACGGAGTAAGTGAGCACCAGAGTTGTTGCCGGGCTCCAGCTGTGCTGGAAGATCCAGGTGAGAGGTGGCCCCAAGCAGAGCCTGGAAGGCCGTGGCAGGCTGGCTCCACTGGCCCAAGGCAGTACCTGGGAGTCTGTGAGGTAGATGCCATGATTCAGTGCGTAGGCTGGGCTCCCAGGAAGGGCAATCACTCTGGCTCCCCGGAAGCCGTTCCAGTTGATCCCTGTGAGGAGTGTCACAGTTAAGAGGCTCCCAGGGTCTCCAACACAAACAGGGAGTTCCCCAGCCAGGAGGAAGCAGAAGCCCAGGAGCGGGGCATCCGGGCACCTCTAAAGGGAAAATATGGCGGCCAAAGCCAAAGGGACATTCCTCTGGGAGAATGACAACCCCTCCTCTCCCAGAGTTCTTCCACAAGCCCTGTAGGGCACAAGGGGCAGGACTGTTATGTCCATTCCACAGATAGGCAGACTAAGGTTCAGCAGGGGAAAGCCTGCCTCTTGGTCTGGCCTTCATTCTCCACATCATAGGCCTCCCTTCTGAACAGAACAGTGAGGCAGGCCCAGAGACACAGAGCCAGCCCCAGCTGTGGCAAGAGAAGGTGGACCCGGGCGCTCGGGGGCTCACCAGGGTTTGCAGGAACAGACAGCAGCATGTCGGTGCTGCAGACCCACATGCCTGGAGGGGAGCCTGGGCCCAGCTGCAGGAGATGTCGGCAAAAAGAGGGTGCCATTAGTGGCCTGCCCTGCAGGCTCCAGCAGCCACCTCATCCAAAGTGCCAGGGCTCCCTCAATGCTGATGCATCCCCCTACTCCAACTGACACCACATCTCCCCCTCAAGGAGACCAAGACTGACTTCTCCAGACTCTGAGTGACTCTGGACACCCTGAAATCCATTCTTCCTTGTGTCTCCCATCTGAGCAGGCACAGCCACTGAGTGGCTGGGACAGTACCCCCTCGGCCACTACTCAGCTTACCCGGTGGGTCATCACATCCAGTAAGCAGTCCAGGTTGCAGACCAAGGCCTCCACAGGGGCCTGGGGGTTCTCTACAGGGAGGCAGGTAAAGGCCCGGCCACAGTCATCAAAGGGAAAGTCTCGGCCCTGGGTGGGAACAGGGCTGGTGAGGGGCCCTGGGAACAGAGAAACTGGGATACCTCATCAGCTGGGCAAGGGTGGCAGGCATCAAGCAGAGGATGTATAAAAAATATCATCTGGTTATTGTCTCTTATAATTTCCTAAATTACCACAATCATGGTGAAAAATTAGAAAGTACAAATATCTAAAAAGAAAAACTATCCCTAAGGGATACTAACTACTGCCCTCATTTTGAGGTACTATATTCTGTCTTTTTTTTTTTTTAACTAGAGATTGAACCCAGAGCCTTGTGCTTGCTCAGTGAGCTACATCCCCACCCCTTTTTAAATATTTTTTTATCTGGAGACACAGTCTTGGTAAGTTGTCCAGGCTGGCCATGAACCTGTAATGCTCCTGCCTCATCCTCCACAGTAGCTGGGATCTCAGGTAAGCGCCACTGTGCTCAGCCTTTTATGCATATTTCCTTTAAAAAAATTTTTTAGGGCCAGTGATTTAGCTCAATGGTTTCACCTCCTGCTGTGCAAGCTCAAGGACCAGAGTTCGATCCCCAGTACCAAAAAAAAAAAAAAAAATTTTTTTTAAACAAAAATAAGACCATTCCAAAAAGGCAGGGGTGGGAGAATTTACACATAGGCAGGTGTGCACAAGTACAAGTAAAACTGGGGAAGGAAGACTGGCAACTGTGTCAATATCATTATCTTGGCTGGAATATTTAATCGTAATTCTGCAAAATATTACCTATGGGGATATCTGGGCAAAGTCTACAAAGATTTTTCTCTGTATTATTTCTTGCACGTGGATCTACAATTATCTCAATCAAAATTCCAATTAAACTGAGCTCATTCCATACAAATTTCTATCATCTTGCTATTTCCACTTAACAATGAAAATCCATTTCGCTGAGCACTTAGAGTGGCCCAGGCCTGTTGTGAGCATTTATGTGGATCAGCACGTCTGTATCCACGTCCATGTCCACACAAAGAGGGAACTGTTGCTGTCTTCAATGTACAGATGAGGAACCTGAGGCCTATAAAGGGTCGAGTGACACCAACGTCACAGCACTGACGTTTCTCATTCCATGTCAATGCACAGAGACAGATGGGCCTTTCGATAAAATTTCACCAGGAGGCTATACTGTGTGTATTTAGCCAGTTCCCAATTTTTGGACATTTAGATACATTCCGACTCTTCCAGATTTGCAGGATGAACACTTTACACATGGTAAAACACCTCTGAAGTCCTACTTGACCCTGAGAATCAGGGTTCCAACCTCTGCATAGCCCATGCCTCGAATTCCACTCACCATGTGCAGGATAAGGATCCAGGCAGAGTGCAGGACATCAGATGTGACCACCTGTTAGGGGCAGGAGGGCCCTATTGGCAGCAGCCTTGGGCAGATGGCAGCTGAAGGACAGCACCCTCTTGTCCAGGGAAGGATCCACTTAACCAAGCCCACTCGAGTACAGAAATGACAAAAGGCAAAGACAAAACCAATGGCCACGGGCAGGCTCAGGGCAGCCCTGGCCCCTCCTGGATACCGCAATCCAATAGCTCTCCATCTGAGCCACCTCCCTGCCCTCTGCTTGGAGGGAGGCTGCAGGGTGACCCAGCAGTGTCAGCTCCATGGCAACCACACAGCGTCCCATCCCTGCTGCGTAACCTCCACTGCCAGGGCACACCGGTGCCTGCGCCGCCCACACTCACCCTCCACGTCAAGGGGCTCTGCAGGCAGGGTGCCTAAGCGAAGGGGCCAGGTGTGTGGGACTCAGCCACAGACTCACATGTCCTGCCCTAGGGGAGCCACATCAGTTCCAGCACCCAGAGGCCGGGTGGGAAAGAGAGTCCAGGCTAGTGAGACCTTGGAACTTCACAGGAAAAGACAGAAGGCCTCACAGTGAGAGCTGGCTCCAGCTACCTTCCTTCCTTGTTTGTTTTCTCCTACATCTTTTTGTATTAATGCACGTGGGTTTCATTTTGGCAGATTCATATGTAACACGTGACGTTATTTTGATCATTTTCACTGCCTTAAACAACCCCTCCCCTCGTTTCACATTTTTGGGGGATTTCAATATATATGATGCATTTTGATCATATCTATTGCCCTCATTACTTCCCTCCCCCTCCCCTTTATTCCCTTCTTTTTGTCTCCCTTCTATTTTCTTGTCACTTTTTTCAGATGGGGTTTCACTATGCAGTTCAGGCTGGCCTTGAACTCACTACATATCCCAGGCTGGCCATAGCAACTCCTGGCTCAGCCTCCCGAGTGCTGGGATTATAGGCTCTTGTCATCTTTTAGACTCCATGTATTACTGGCCCTGCCTCCTGCCCTCATCTGGATAGCATGAGAGCCATGAGTACCCCTAACTTTCAGATTCAAAAACAAGCCAAATCCATGCCTGCCTTGCAAGCGCAAGGTCCTGAGTTCAACCCCTAGTACCAAAAAATAAATAAAAACAAGCCAAGTGCTGAACTGGCCGGGATGCTAGAGCCAGAGAAGCTGGGGATCCTGGAAAATACATCATGTGGTTCCAACAGTGACAGAGGCCTGAGTTATGGCTGCGCAGGGCCACTCACAGTGAAGCCTGCACGGGCACTCAGGTGTTCAGCAGCCACCAGCAGCGCGTTGAGGGTGGCTCCTCCACTGCCCACACGCACTTCAGGGTCCTCAACAGCCAGTAAGAGTGTCCCGGTGGGGATCTGCTCCCGCTTCTGCCGCACCTCGAGCTCTGTGAACAGAAGGTGTGTGGCACTCACACCGGGCCTCCCTCCCTTGCTCTGCAGCACCTGGGCCAGCCTAGGAACAGTCGTTATTTGTTTTCTTTGGGTTTGTTTGTTTGACATAGAGTGTCACTATATAGTTCAGGCCGGTACCCACTGTGTAACCCAGGATGGCCTTGAACTCAGGACAATCCTCCTGCCTCAGTCTCCCAAGTGCTGGGATTACAGGTGTGTGTCACTATACCCAGTTCATTATGATTTATTTGATTCAGTATCATGCCACAAAATAACTCAATTACATGAGCTAAGTACTATTACTATCATCCTATAAATGAGAAAACTAAGGCACAACAAGGTGACATGCCATGTATGAGGTCCCAAGGAGAGGAAGAAGTGGAGTTGGTTTCAAGTAAAGTGTGCCAGGTTCCTGGGGCTGTAGGGCTTGGGAGAGAGTGGGGTTGGGAAGTTCTAGGTTAAGGACAAAGTGGGGAAGGGGAGTGACTTACCTCTCTGAAAGGCCTGGACACTGTCCTTATACTGGCAAGTCAGGATGATAACTGTCCAATCGACCCCCTCCAGCTGCCCCATTCTGCCCAGAAGGATGGGGTTTCCTGAGGAACCAACATATGGGTATATGTGAATATTTTTAAATTACCATATCTCTGATACACAGTTTTATAAATTCTAATACAAATATAGATTCTTGTATCTGCCACCACCTTCACGCAAAAAACTCTCTCACAGTCAGGCGCGGTGGCTCACACTTGTAATCCTGGCACTCTGGGAGACTGAGGCAGGGGGATTTCAAGCTTCAACACAGCCTGGGCAATATACTGACTTAGCAAGACCCTGTCTCAAAATAAAGGGGTAGGGATGTAGTTCAGTGCAAAGCCCTGGGGTTCAATTCCAGTACTGCAACATAGACAGACAGAATTTTAAAACTCCCTCATGCTATCTCTTTTCAGTCCTATCCCCCTCCATCCCTGACCCCAAAACCATTTATTTATGCTCCGTAGCTAGTCTTTTCAAAACTGTCAGACAGATTATCAACTTTGGAGATTAGTGTCTTTCTTCCAACATGACACCTCTGAGATGCATCCAAGTTCTTGCACGTATCAGTAACAGTCCAGTCCTTTTTCTAAGTATTCCCCGGCAAGGGGGTACCTCAGTCTGTTTCTTCATTCACCCCTTGAAGGCTAACTGGGCCATCTCCATCCAGGTTGGCTGTCATGAATACAGTTTTTATAAAGATTCAGGCACAGGTGTGTACAAACACAAGACTTCATGTCCTCATGTCCCTAGGTGGACACAGGGAGTAAGAAGGGTTGCTGGGTCACATGGTGAGTGTGTGCTTTTTTTTTCTTTTTTTTTTTAGACCAAGCCTTGCTACATAGTTCAGGTTGGCTTCGAATTCATGGTGATCCTCCTGCCTCAGTCTACCAAGTGCAGGGATTACAGGCATGGGCCATAACACTCAGCTTTTTTGTTTTGAAACAGGGATTCATTATGAAGTTCAGCCTGGCTTGAACTCACTATGTAGCCCAGGCTCACCTTGAATTCACTGCAATCCTCCTGCCTCAGCCTCAAGTGCTGGGATTACAGGTGAGTGCCGACAGGCCTGGTTTATGCATTTTCTAATAGGTGGGTCCATGTGATTTCCTGGGACAGCGCCCTCTCGGGAGAGAGAAGTGAAGTGTATAGAACAGGGTTAACTGTTGGTCCCAGTTTAAGCAAGGAACTGCACCTTCTGTACCAGCAGCCCTACGTCACTCGGTCACTGGATGTGAGCTGGGGGATAGGACAAAAAAGTCTACACTCTTGAGCTCCTTGGGCTGAGACTGATTCCCTGGAGCAGGTGGCAACTGTGGGGAGCTTGCACAGGGGGATGGGGACACTCAGGAACCTCCCCTCCAGACAGCCATCTTCCTCCAGGGCACTCTCACCTATGAGGACAGTGAAGATAAAGATCCTTCCAATGGTGCCACCAGATGGGGAACCATTCTGATGCCAGAGCCCTTGGCCTTCAAGGCCACCCTAGGACGAGCCCTTAGGAGCATCTGTGTCTGGCAGGGCTGCACTGCTGCTCAACCAACACCCCTTCCCTTTAGTGCCCAAGCTCAGGGTGGAAGGACAGTCAAGGCAGAGCACATGCCACATCCAAGACGTGCCCTGAGTATGCATTCAGTGGTCAGCCCAGGCCCACCCAAAGACCAACAGAACACCTGAACCCCAATGACAGTTTCTTCTTATGCCAGACTCAGCTGCCACCAAACCTATGGTTACTACCGATACAACACCAGCACCTAGCAACTCCCATACTCCTCCGAGCTTTCAGGGAAAGCCTTCTGCAGTAACAGAAACTGCTCTGTTCAGCCAGACATCATGGCTCATGCCTGAAATCCCAGCACTCTAGGAGTCTGAGGCAGGAGGATCATGAGTTTGAAACTCAGCCTGGCAGACTTATTGAGAGCCTATCTCAAAAAAGTAGGGGGCTGGGCTGGGGATTTAATTCAGTGGTTCTGGTGTCTGCCTTGCAAGTGCAAGATCCCGAGTTCGATCCCCAGTACCAACAAAACAAAACAAAACAAAACCAAAAAAGTGGGAGCCTAAGGATGTAGCACAGTGTGAAGACCTTAGGTTCAAAATAAAAAATAAACAATACATGTTATGCCAATAAAAAAAAAGACAAGGAAATATAAAAAGGGTTGGGGATGTGAACGCTCTAAATTCAATTCCTAGTACTGTGAAGGAGGAAGAGGAGGAAAAAGAGAAGGATGACGAGGAGGAAAGAAAGAAAGGGAGGGGGGAAGGGGAGGGAGAGGGGGGAAATTAATTGCCTGTTCCCTGCTCAGCCCAGAAGGGGAACCCAGAGGGGAAATCAGACCTATAGAACCCGGCCAGGCCTTGGAGGGCAAAGGCTTTCCCAGGGTACTCACCTGCCCTCCCCAGTAAGGTGGCTGACAGTGCCTGAGTGCTTGTCTGAATCACCACTAGTTTCCAGGGAGCCTCTGCTTCCCACCTCCTGCAAGGACCCAGTGATGACTCCTACCACCTTCCGACTTCTGGTAAGACTTCAGGCTCCCCTGGCTGAGGCTCAGGCTCCAGGGCTCCTGGCTCAGACTGCACTGCAGACTGAGACGTTAACCCCGCCACCTCCTCCCAGAGATCAGACACTAGCAGCTCTTCTGCCCCAATAAACTCTTGTAAACCTAATGCCATCGTGGTGTCTGCTTCTCCAGGACCTGAACTAACACAGAGAGCAAATGCCATCCCCCTCTGGGCAACTACAGAGGAATATTCATGGTAAGAATCCCTCACTTGGGCTAAGCGTGGTGGCACAGGCCTGTAATCATAGCCCTCAGGAAGGTGAGGCCGGGGGATCACCCCAAGGTCAGCCTGGACTATATAGTGAGGTAAGTTCAAGGCCAGCCTGAACTAAAGGGCGAGACCCTGTCGCAAAAAAAAAAAAAAAAAAAGAAAGAAAGAAAAAAAAGAATCTCTCACTTGGGCCTGGGAGTATAGCTTAGTGGTAGACTGCATGCTTAGCATGTGCAAGGTTCTAGGTTCAGTCACCAACACCAAAAAAAAAAAAGGAACGGGACACTTATAATTTAACATCTAATTAACATTTTTAACCTTACAGATGAAACCGAGGCACAGAGAGATTTAGTAACTTGACCAAGGTCACACAGCTAGCAAGCAAGCAACAGACCCAGTGTGAACCTAACCCTTTTTCTCCAGTCTATTTTTACCTATTACATTGTTCAGTACTTTGTAGGGCTGAAGAAAAAGCAAAGAGCCATTACAGGTGTAGCTTAGTGAAAGTGTTCTTGCCTAGCATGCACAAGGCCCTGGGTTTGATACCTAAATAAAAAAAAGAATACATATACTTAAATTGCTCAATATGTATTAACTACTGTAATGTGATACGGTTTAAACAAATACCAAGTGACAGCTGGGCATGCTGGCACACACCTATAATCCCAGTACTCAGGAGCCTGAGGCAGGAGGATCTCTATGAGTTCAAAACCAGCCTGGGCTACATCATGGGTTCAAGGGCAGCCTGAACTACATAGGAAGACACTGTCTCAAAAAAAAAAAAAAAAAAGACCCTGTGATTTTATTTTACCCTCACCATACCTCTATGAGGGTAAATATTATCTCCATTTACAGAAGCAAGTAGATACTGCACCACGGGGACACATGGGTCACTCAGTCTCATTCAGACAATGGTGATCATGAAGTCTGGCCCCAAGCAAAGGCACTAGAAAGGGGCAAAGCAACACCCCAAGGAGAACACAATGGCCCAGAAGGCCTCAGCCCAGCCAGTCTCAGCGCGAAGTCTAAGAGACACATACATACAGGGCACAAATCACAGCCAGAAGAGGTGGACTGAACTCACAGGGACAATATGGGCTGGTGATTCGCCTCCCAGTGCCTTCTCCCCATTTCTGCTTCTTCCTGTGTGATTCTGGGCAAGTCACCTAACCTGAGCCTCTGCTTCCTAATCTGAAAACTGGGGCCAATTACATCAACCTCCTATGGCTATCATTCGGCATTAAATGTAAACTATGTGGCACACCATAGTAGCTCATGAATGGCAGGTCTTTCCAGCAAGACAAGGAAGCTGCAGAGTTTAACTGCTGAAGCAGGAGGGAGCAAAGGTTCTGAAGTATTCTCTGGGTCAAACATACCCCTAAAGAAGGAAAAATCAAGCCAAGTATGATGGCACATGTCTGTAATCCCAGTACTTGGGAGGCTGAGGCAGGAAGATCCAGGAGTTCAAGGCCAGTTTGGACTACATACGATATAGCAAGACCTTGTCTCAAAAAAAAAAAAAAAAGGAGCCCTGGGGGAATCAAGCAAAGCTTAAAGGCATTCCATGATCAATTGGTCAAAAAAGCAGTTTAACAGTACAAAATGCTACCAGTAACTAATACTCACAGAGGGGTTTTCCAGACACAAAGCCCACCCAACAGCCCTGTGTCCCACGACAGCTCAAGTTGGGTCTCATCACACCAGCCACAGATAGAGATGGAGGCCTGGGGCAAACAGCTCACCTAAAGTCACACAGAGAGAGTACAGACAGGTGTGGCCAGCTCCAATGTTTGTGTTCTTAACCACACTGGAGAAACAACACACCTCTCTGAGTCTGCTCCATCATACGTGGCATTTGCACAGAAACCTTACAATACAGGTCCCTAATTATCCCCAAGTCCTGCCCACTTCAATACTTTATCTTCTGCTGTGCCCAAGTTGAAGTACTTTTTAACGTCTTCAACAAGCTGAGGGTCTAGTAGGCAAACCAGAAACAGACTAAAATAACAAAACCTCATTTTTATTGAGTGTGGGAGGTGCAAGAGGGTCTCATTGTGTAGTCTAAGGCCTCGAACTTGCAGTAATCCTTCTGCCTTAGCCTCCAGAATGCTGGGATCCCAGGTTTGAGCCACCACACCTTGTTGCCCTTCATTTTTGATGAGGTGGGCCAGGCAGGGACTTTGCACATTTTAACACTTTAAGGGGGTGGGGAGGGACAGGTTGAAGGACGACCCTAATTTGATTTCCTTGAAAACAGAAAGAAGTTGGTCAGGAGTAAAATCATGTTGGAAATTACACAAGACACCACTGAAATTCGTGCATAATGATGAACCCTCATTGGGGTAAACCGAGGCAAGAGGTAACCTTATGGTAATACCAGAGGAGCAATGGCACCCAGCGCCCCACCTGTCTCATGAATCAGGGCGGGGTCCCTCCGCGCCCCAGGTGTCCCCAAGGACCTCAGTACCGGCCAGGTCCCCGGGGCTCCCGCGGAAAGACCTGGTCCAAGGGAAATTGGGACGGCAGAAGAACCCGGCGGCAGGTGGGCGCGGCCAGAGCTCTCGGAGACGCTGTCCTGCTGTCCTGCGTGAACGCAGACCTCGGGCGGGACAGGACAGTGGCGGAAGCCGGCCTTGATCTCCGCGGGTCCTCGCGCCGACGCAGACGTGCCTGCGGCCGGGGCACTGGAGGAACGGGGTCTTTAACGCGGCCGCGCGTTGCCGCGCGGGTCACCCTGGGATATGTAGTCAGCTCGTTCCTGGCCGTGCTGGTTCGCGTCCCCGGAACCCGTCGGGACCCCGAGTCACAGCCGAAACACGGAAAGGGCGAGCGGACGCTCACCGCCGAGCTGCGCTGAAGGCGAGAGTCTCCACATGCAGAGGAGCCGAGGCCGGAGGGCTGCTCCGCAGATCACTGAACTACAACTCCCAGCGACGCCGGTGCGTCTTAAAGACACAGGCCCGTTTTTCTGGAACTTGAGGTTCTAGGTTTGGGTGTGTTGGATTGCCCTTTGGTCTTTTGTTTTAACTTTCCTGAGCTAGGAGTGGTGGCACATCTGTAATCCCAGCATTCTGAGAAATTGGAACCAAGCGAATCGAAAGTTCGAGCCCAGCCTGGGAAATTTAGCAACTGAGCTAGACCTGAGTTCGATCCCCAGGTACCGAAAAAAAAAAAAAAAGGTTTTATAAATTCACTGGGCATGATGGCGCACGCCTGTAGACCCAGCACGGGGGAGGCTGAGGCAGGAGGGTCGCCACAAAAAACAACTACATAGCAAGACGCCGTCCGTCCCCCCTCCCCAAAAAAGAGAAATTAAAAAAATTTTTAAAGTGCAAAAAAAAACTTATGGAGGAGCCTCTCCCGCCTCTTCTCTTGGGAGAAAAATACATTTGAGAAAGTTTTTTTTTTTCCTGGTACCGGGAATCAAACTCGGGATGTTGCACTTGCGAGGCAGGGGATGGAACCACTGAGCTAAATCCCCGGCCCAAGAAAGATTTTTTTTTTAAATCGCAGCTCTTGCTGTAGTGTCAAAAGCTGCGTCGGGTGTAGTGCTTGTCCTGGTCCTTCCGGAAGAAACTTTCCAACTCTGCTGTGAGAAGAGAATTTGTGGAGCTTTTCCAAAATTCTGAATAATATCATTGTTTGTCACTAACACCTGACGTGTCACTCTCTAGGGTCCGGGAAGCTAAACTGTGTCCATGCAATGAAAAAGGAAAAAGAAACAAATTGCAGAACAGTATGTATGGGAAGCCACTTGTGTTAAAAGTAATATGTATGGGCCATGGATGTAGCTCTGTGGCACCAGACCTGCCTGGCACAAGTGCAGTCCTGAGTTTGATCCCCAGTACCAAAAAAATAATAATAATATGTATCGCTGGTCACAGTGGCACATGCCTGGAGTCCCCGCTACTCAGGAGGCTGAGGCAGGAGTTCAAAGCCAACTTGGGAATTTAGGAAAACATTGTCTCAAAATTTTAAAAAAATTTTTTTTTGAGATAAGGTCTCACTATGTATTCCAGGCTGGCCTCAAACTTGCAGTGATCTTCCCGCCTCCGCTTCCTTGAGTGCAGAGATTACAGGCGCACCACCACACCCAGCTTCAGAGTAAATATTTAAAAAGAGCTGAGGATACATAGCTCAAGTGAAGTGGGGGTTGTCGCTAGGAGGAGCTGAGCAGAGGACTGCTCTTCATCCATCCATTCATCTCTAGAACTGGAAAAAGTGTGCAGACAGAGTCTGTATATGTAAAGGAACAGGACCAGAAGGGAACATGCCCTGGGGCAGACACAGGTGGTGTTGGGCAAGGGAGCTGGAGCTTTGTCAGTATCGTTTGAATCTTTCTTACAGGAATGTACTTTCCAATTTGAATCCCCTTAATAAATAGCCAGGACTATCATGGCTTTCCTCACATAGCCACCCTGTATCCTCCAGAGTATAGATTTTTCTTGCTTTTTCCTCTTTTATTCAGCCCAAGCTCACTCTGCAGAGCCAGTTTCTCTACTTTTTCAAATAAACTTTGCCACAAAAAAGAAAAGAAAAGAAAGTAGCCAAGGCCAAGCGTGGTAGAACACACCTGTAATCCCAGCACTGGGGAGGCTGAGGCAAGAGGATTGCCCTGAGTTCAAACCAGCCTAGGCTGCATAGTGAGTTCAAGGCCAGCCTGAACTACATAGTGAGACCCTGTTCAAAACAAAACAAAGCAAAAAAAGTACTCTGTGGGCTGGGTTGGAGCTTAGTGCCAAGGCCCTGGGTAGAGGACTTACTTGCCTAACATGAGACCCTGATTTCCAGCAGCAGCACACAAAAGGGGGGTGGGGGCTAAGAGGCCTGACTGAGGTCGGTTCAGTGTTCAACAGAGGTGGGGGACCCCACTCTAGTTGTGTGAATTTAGGTAGTCATTTACCTACTGTGTGTCGCCTGTCTCCATCTGGAAAATGTATCAAATGCCTTTTTTGTATATGGTTGACTCCATAGTAGATACTGAAAGAAATGTTAAAAGGGCTGGGGATTTAGCCCAGTGGTTCTGCTGCCTGCCCCGAAAGCACAAGGACCTGAGTTCTATCCCCAATACCAAAAAAAAAAAGTTTAAAAAAAAAAACTTGTAGCCATTAATATGATTTTTTGTTGGTGTTTTACATGTCCTGTCCCATGAAAGCAGAATTTGGGGGTTTGTTCTCTGTTGTATCCTCAGGCCCTGGACAGTGCTTAGGACATTATAGAGGGTTAGAAACAATTTGTTCAATGAATGAATGAGTCCAGAACAATCCTTCCTCGGCTCTTCCCCACCACTGCACCTGCTCCTTCTGTGAACCCAAGAGGCCTGAGGCAGAGGAGCTGCCCCTCTCCTGCCTTTCTCAGCAATGCAGATCTCCAGCTCTGCAGTGGAGTGGGAGGCAGAGATTCCTGCCACTGCAGCTTTGGCGGGGCCTCAAGAAAACTAGAGAGTGTTCCCAAGAGCTCAGAGGCAAAGGGCTTCTCGACACCTCCTTGGGCAGGCCGGGGAGTGGAGGAGGGACAGCTCCAGGGCTGGCTTGCGGCCTAAGAAGCAGAGATTGGAAAAGAAGGTTTTATTAAAGGAAGCCCATGGCGCTGTGGTGAGCTTGGTGCCAGAGCACTTGCTCCATGTGCCCAAGTCCCTGGGCCCTATTTCCAGCACTTCAAAAGAAAAAAAAAAAGAAGAAGCAATAAAGTTCAATCCCCAGCACCAATAAAATAGGAAAGAAGAAAGCCCTCTCTGCAATCCGTCAGCAGCAGACAGAAAAACATGTAATTCCCTGCATGTGGGTCCACTGTGGGGTGTACAAAGCCCAAAACAGATGCTCTTATAGGGTAGAATCTGGTGATAAAATCCAAGGGTCTGAAGTCAGATGAATCCTCCTAGCTTGCACACTGTGTGAGAAAACCATTCAACCTCTCAGAGATTCGTCTTCTTTATCTGTTAAGAGTCCAATAATACTTCCTTAATCTGATTGTTGGGAGGATTCAATGAGCTAATGTGCCACACTGTCTGGCACACAGTAGGCGTCCGTCCAACCTCCTTATCACACCCACACCCCACTGAACCCAGGGCTTCTGCACTGAGGTGCATCACCAGCTCTCCTTTCCTTTTCTTTTTTTGGTACCGGGGATCGAACTCGGGTCCTTGGACCTGAGGGGCAGGCGGCAGAATCACTAAACTAAATCCCTGGTCGGTCCTCCTTTTCTTTTTTTAAAATGGAGATCAAAGTCAGAAATGCTGTACTATTGGGCTACATCCCCAGGCCTTTCTAATTTTTTTTTTTTTTTTTTTGAGACAGGGTCTTGCTAAGTCACTAAGTTACCCAGGCTGGGCTTGAACTTGCCATCCTCCTGCCTCGGCCTCCCAAGGGCTGGGATTACAAGTATGTGCCACCACACCTGGTTCTCCTTATTCTTCACCTGCTGCCCAGGTGAAAGGGTCCAAATCTGGGAAAGCTTCTTAGAGCTGAAATATTCAGGACCCTGATGAGTGGCTGCTATTGATAGCAGGAAATCCCTTGGGGAGCCAAGACTGCCCACAAGGTGATCTTAGGTTGAGTTCGTTAGATGCAGAGCCTGAGACAGGGATTCTTGTCCAAGGGAGTAAGAAAGGAGGACACGGCACAGGAAGAAGCCAGCAAAGATGTGGGTTCACCTAAGTCTAGCCTCCGTCTGATTTTCTTGATCCCTCTTACAAGCAAAGTCCCTCTTAGGTGCTGGACTTTGTACCCCACATCCATTATTCATGAGCGATGGGCCCCTGGGGAGTGGGAGAGGGGAGCATAACTTCCCAGGCATCTCCAGGAAAAGCAGCTCATAGGGCTGAGGAAAATTCCCCACAACGGGGTGACAGCTGTGAGCCATGGGTAGCCAACACTCCCAGAGCTACAGGTCGGGGACAGGTCACCATCGCTGTAAATGGCTGCCTTTGGAGGGGCGCCAACCGCGCATCCTCACGACAGGGGCACTGGAAACCGAGTGAGAGAATGAAGAGAGGATATTAAACTCTCCTGGGTCTTTCAAGGAGAAAATGATGTTACATTTTTGTGTCTGTGTCTGACACAAAATCTCCCATCATCACAGGTTTTTAGGTGTACAATACAGCTTTGCTGACTACAGGTACCATAGTGTACACGGTGCTCTGGTTGCAAATAATAAAAACAGACTTGCTATAATAATAACCACACAGTCAACCCTTTCTGAAAGTCATTAAGTGGTCCCTTTCCTGAATGTCCAACCATTGCCATACCAAATATCCCAGGCAGTATTTTCCAAAGAGTGATTCTGTAGGATGTTAATAAGTGTTGCTGCAGAGATGGTAGAGATCCATTAGACACAAGTAGGTGTGTTTATTGTTCTCCCAACTTTTAGAAACCAATACTTTATTATTTATTTATTGAGGGTTTTGTTTGTTTGTTTGTTTTATTTTTTGAGATAGAGTTTTGCTATGTAGTTCAGGCTGGCCTTGAATTCACTGTGTAGCCCAGGCTGGCCTCAAACTCATGGCAATCCTTCTGTCTCAGCTTCCCCAGTGCACCACCACACCTAACACCAATATTTTAGATAAACAAAATATGATAGATCCATACTATGGAATGTTAGCCATAAAAAAAGAAATAAAATACTATTGTATGCTACAACATGGGAAACCTCA